AAAATGAATAAGGCACATGTAAAAATTTACGAGTTAAAATCTTCTTAGTCTAATAATAATAAATCACTGGCAGATATTTGCACAAGTGAAACATCGTTGATAAATGTGTCCATCATTATACTTCTTTTCTCGCAACATTCTTTTTCATGTACGGTTACGATCTAGAAGTAATGAAAAATAAATAAATAAAATAAAGAAAAGAAAGATATTATACAAATAAAGCTACATGTTAGTTAATGTGAATCGATCAGTCGAAGTGTTTTATAGATGTGTTTCGTCAGTGTATACACACGGTGATATGTACATAAGCCCTTGCAGAAATCCAGTCGCCTTGCTAATTTTCAAATGCATATAAAAGCGACAAAAGTTCAAAGTGCTTGCTATAATAAATAATTGCTCAATCAGTTTAGATAGTCCGTTAGCAATATGACAAAATATATGAAAGGTCAAAACATCATGTTATTCTTGGGCAAGCGTCGCGACAAGTCAAAATTTGATTTAAAATAAAATAATATTTTTGTCGTAGCTTTTATTTAACAATATGTCGCAATATTAATTGAGAAATGTGGCATTATATTCTATCAGTGAAATCTAAAAATATGACATATCTTTTCATCGATGTACAATAATTTTCCAAAGAACACTTCAATACTTTTAAACCCAAATAAGGTCGTCGGGTATTACTGGAAAATAATATGTCCTATTACTTTTCTATTTTAAGAATCTTCTAAGTACTTTTATATTTCTTAGTATATTATTATATATTTCTTCAAGTGAAACCACACATTAGAACATAAAGGTGTTCCAAAACTTCGCCGATAAAAAGTTTTTCGCTTAAGCTAAACGCCGAAGAGCTCATAATGTAGTCATAAATAATGTTCAATATAAATTAAAAATTATGAAAGTTTGCTTCAAATCTAAACCCTAATTGAAATAAAGATATTTATAAGTCGGTGTATTAGATGTAACATAATTATATTATGTTTATAATAACGCAAGCAAATTCAAAATTAATCCGCAAGAAATTTTATAAAATCGCTTCAAAGAATTCATGTAATTATGTTAGTTGAAAAGTAAAGCGCGTAATAGTGACTTACTTGTAGCGCTGCCGCCGGGGGCTTGGGTGGGCGATAGTTCTCTTAGGGTCATAGCGCGGCGAGTTCTTCTCCTGTAACTGGGTAGGATGTTCTTGACCGCCCGTCGGAAGTTCTGCCCGCTCAGACAGTACAGAGTGAAATTGATGCCGAAGTTTGTGTTGAAGAATATTAGCGCAATTTGTTGCAGAGCTGCCCAACTACCGGTGCTTTCGCGTTCTTTCTGTTGACAAAAAAAGATGATATCTAAACATGGCACTAAACATGGCATTTTACACTATTTAATGTTGCATTAGATGTTGTTTTTGTGCCTCGTATCACCGTATTGTTATATCTATCTATCGTGTTAGCATGCTATCATAATAATTACGTCGCTATTTGTTTATATAAGTACTCTTAAAAGTAAGTTTAGGCTCATACCAAACTTGCTTTATGTCTATAATATTTAGCGTCTATTGATTCAAAGTTACTATTCATTTATTTGCGATGTTTATTGAAAGAAACCTTCAGTACTCAATTAGAAAAAAATATCTCAATAATACATTTCTGATGAGGAGGGGGAGAAGACAAGTTAATTTGTCTCAAGTGATACACCCACGCCCCACGCCCCACGCACCAGTCTCAATACAAGCGTAGCAATTATCTACTTGTTCCCTGTGCAATATTGAAATGTTCCTGAACTATGTCCTCCTCAAACACAAACAACGTTTATTGTGCAGTTAAGGATTGTTCGCCTCGTTGCACTTAATACGCAAAAGCTATATTAATTTTGAATACGAATTGCATACTATTAAATGTGAACTTATTAATTCCACAGTTACCTACATTAATTATTTTCAATAATTAAGTTCCACATAAATGATAATGTAAATAATTTTAAAACAAATTGGATTTCCGTGAATTTCGGTGCTCATAAATGTAATAGGTAGGTAGTTTTATAATATAAAATATTTGCTACTTTTTCATTTAGGACAAAAGTTAAAAATACGTGCTTATATTTTTAGACTTATGATTTTATCACTTTTAAATTAATAGTATGGTGTAGTTAGAGCTATTTCGGAAATATCCGAAACTGCGACCTCATTTGAAATAAATTTCATAGTTAAGTATAGCCCTAAGAAAAGCAAAATACAGCTCAAATTAGTTTTTCCTGTGTTCAAAGTAAGGGGCGGCGACGGGTTTAAGGCAACAGGTGCCTTGCCTCTCACTGCCTGCCGTCGCAGCTCTAAACCTTTCACGCTTTACCGCTTTTTACTAACCAACCTTCTACCTTTATAATTCCCTTTGTAGCTATCACAAAAAGTTATAAAGCAGATTAAATCTCAGTTACAATACTGTTTATTAAAATGTATGCAAGCTAATTTACCACAGGAGATGCAAAATTATAATACTTCTATTAGTTTTATATGTTAGAGGTGCAGGAATATTATTTTTAGGGTTCCGTACCTCATAGGAAAAAACCGGAACCCTCATAGAATCACTTTGTTGTCCGTCCGTCCGTCTGTCAAGACCCTTTTTCTCAAAAATGCGTAAAGTTTTCAAGCTGGAATTTATTTTAAAGAAGACAACTAAACAGTTTCTTCAATTAATTAGTTATTGCTTGTACGCGCATTGAAATATGTCTCCCGAATCATCACCTATATAATACAAACATCACAAAATATTCATATATATCGTTGGAATGTGTTTTTATTTCACAAAAATCAAAATTTAATATCCAAAATCTACTAAATATGACTATATAGCCTCATTTTATTAAAATATCAGGGTTATTCTTTAATAAAAATTACTAAAAATATTATTTTCTATGTATATTCACATTTAAATAATAATTCGTCTATCAGAAACTGATTTATGGCAATTACCGACTGAGCGTTGGCCCTTCGATCCTGAATCTCATATTCCAACCAAAAAATAAAAAAATAAAAGCATAAACGTAAAAGTAGACATTCATTTATTTTTAAATTTAGAAAAATAAAAAATATGTTTTAATTTAAAGTAGGTCTTAATACTTTTTAAATAGTTATTAAAAAATAATTAAACATTTTTATAATTTGTGATAAAGTGCACTTACCAGGTTGAGGGCGTAGGCTATGACGCGCATGGTGTAGGCAGGCAGGTTCAGGCAGACGAAGACCGAAGATACTATGAGCAGCATTCTTGTAACGCGCGTTTGTGACCGAGGATAGCCGACGGGCCGCAATGGCTGGATCTGGTTGGTGAAGGCCGCCATCTGCTCCGCTCTTGTGAACTCTCTTCGTTCTCGCCCTATGCGATATATCCCTACTACGATTCGGACATTCAGGACGATTATGACTGCAAGAGGGACTGTGAATGATGCCACCGTGTCAACAATGTTGAAGCGTGCGGCATGCACAAGATATTCAAAGTCGATATTGCAGTCCGTAGGCGTCGGTGTCACAAATCGTAGCACGGGTATATTCAAGAGCAGAGAACAAAGAGCGGTGGCCATTATCACATATCGGGATCGTTGCACGGTACAAATTGCGTTACATTGCAGCGGGTGCAGCACTGCCATGAACCTTTCGATCGTAAATGCAACCACTATCCAGGCGCTGAAGGTGCAGGTCACGTACGAAATGTATACGAATATTTGACAGAAGCCTTGTCGATGAAATAGATCCGTAAAATGCACAGCGTTGAGCCATGGTGGTATCAGTTGCAGGAGAAAAAGGGTGTCCGAAATTGCCAGTGCCGATAAATATTGACTCGTCGATTGCAGCCGAAGTTTTGATTTGTAAAACACGTACACGGACAGAAGATTTCCGATAGCGCCGAGTATTATAAGGAACGGTATATAGTAGACGTTCAGGCCGTTTGCAATTTGTTCCGAAACCGATTCAAAAAAACAAATATCCGTTTTTGCCGTACTGTTTGGATTTGTCAAATTTAGCCCGGGCCCCACGGTGGTGATATTAATATCAGGCGGGAGGGCAGTCATTTTGAAGACTGCCCACTCGGGCGCCTGCCCGCCGAGAACTGCGCTGGCTCTCTCCGCGCGGGCCTTTTTATAAGGGCGGCGAGCCCTGACGGCTTCCAACTTTCAGTACATGTTGCACTGATGAAATTTCCCGGATAGAAACAAAATTCAACCGTATCCTTATAGAAATAAAGTTTTTATTTCATGCTCAGAATTGTTTCAGGAGGGATTTGTTGCGCGTAACGATAATTTGCTACGGCGTACAGACGCCGCCTACTTTCCCGCAACGGTTCGCAGTAAAATGTAGCCGATGCTACGGCGTAGTCCCGTGTTGGCGCTCACTCGAAAGAGACAGGTGTTTGATTTCAGCGCCCTATCGAATTTAATGACGCATTTGACATCGTCTGTTTCACTTTAAAAATTGCATATCGAATTTTAACAAGGGCCATGTGAGCTTTACTTTGACGCACACCAGTGCTTTGAGCTAAAGCTTAGTACATTTAACAGTTTTAATTATATTTATAAAATATTTTACCGTGAAGAAATGTTTCGGAGGAACGCTACATTATTAAACGGTTATAATTATTTTAATATTTATCATGGGCACATATAGTATAGAGTGGACTGTAAAAAAAATTATTATAATTTAAATCTAATCCGAGATTTAATATGATCTCTCATTTTTCATTCATTACCAATTACAGTTCGGTATATTATGTTTGCCACGCACGTTAACTTTTATAAGATGGGTTTTTATAATGTATAACCTACAAGCAAACACTAGCTTTTGTGTCAGAACTGTACAGTAATGTAAACCTTCGTTCATTGCTAATTTAATCTAATATAACTGTCTAATACCATCTATTATATTATTATCTTATCTGAATAATTACCTTGTTCTCTTACTGTATTCCATGAAAATGTTCTACTGCTAATTAATTTAATATTTATCTGTTTGTTGACAGGATCTGAGAAGGGGAAGGGTACTCTTGACGTGCTCCTCTGCACCACGTACTGTCGCTCCCAGCTGTACCTGTCCCGGCAGCTGTCCCAACTGCACCCGGAACTCACCATGCCCATGTTCTCAGGTAAGTGTTTTCTGTTCATTGCCGAAACACATGTAAAAAAACATATTTTTATCTAGTTTTTTAAAGGATAGGGAAAGGATAACCAAATTTTTATACGTGTTTCGGAAGTGGAAATTCGCCATATTATTTTATTGTTGAGTATTAAAATAGTATGCTTCTGTATTTACAAAGGCCATCCGGCAGCGACCACTGAATTATTTGCACTAACTGCCAATACCTGTACTATTGATTTACCGTACTGTATTGCGAACTGGCATTTACCGCAGATAGGGAATGTTCAGTTTTTAGTAAATGGCTAACCGCGATATTAACTTTATCCCTGACAACAAAGGCTTATTAATTTTGTTGATAGAGTACAATACTAATTATGTCGTGAAAACACTCCGAGGAATATTCCGATCAATAAATGCCATGAGCTATTTGTTAATCCAATTCCTAATATAAACTAGAGCTGACGTAATGTGGATTACATTTAAGACCTTAATTTTTTTTTACTTAACGACGATAAAAGTAACAAATTGTTTTATTAATGAAAATGGCTTTGCCGTATTAGGGTGAAAAGAGTGATACGTGTAAATGTTATTTTAGAATACAGAACCAAAAATTGAATTACTATAAACTTAGAATAGAATTGTTAAACAAAAAAAACTTATTTTAACTTAAGTGTAGCGGTTTTAGTTACAACAGTAGTCAATGGAATTAACTAAATTGTAAATGATACATACAAAACTGCATACATATAAAATAAACAAGCCTGCGAAACATATTACCCTCCACGCAGACGGGCAAATAATATTATTGTTCAACTACTGTAAAGTAAATACATCCAATTTAATTAGAATGAAGTCAGAGAGACCACTTTTACCACAATAGTCAGACACATGCAAAATTTAATTGCGTGTCCTTCATTATTATAATTGTCAAAATAAATTTTCTATTTAACTCTACAGTCGTTATTGTGAAGACAAAATGTAGCACTTGTTTCTTTTTTAACATGCACTTTTTTTACTTAGTATTCGTTATAATTTGCATGGGTCAATTTTACAATAATTTTGCATCGTATAGTGAACATTTTAAAACTGAAACAAGGTAAACATCACAATTTAAATTTACATTGAAACTTCATCCGAAATAACCTTTGAGCGATATTGATTTATAAGCAATGTTTGCACGCTTGCAGCGGATGTACAGTCAAAGTATTAACTTCGCTTCCCCGCTTACGTTCGAATATCGTACAACAAATAGTTACCGTAACTGCTATGATTTAAAAGGTATTTATGTATGTTGTTGTGACGAGTTTGCGAATGAATAGCTTTGTGAGTGCCAACTGACATTTCACAGAAATGGGTAGGAAACAAATGTTCTCAAATATTGCCTACAAATATCTGTTACATTCTGTTTGTATATGACTTTCAGTTTGTAAATACAATGACTATTTAATAAATAACTGCAGGTACATATATCTATAAGAGTTGAAAGAACGTGTGCTTTTCCAACTTTTTGAACAAGGAGGATATCAATGCTAAAATTGCACAAAAATAAAATTGATCTTCAAATAACTCTATGAGGCGAAAGAGGTGTGCCAGGACCGTGCCAACGTGCCAAATGGTAATATGTAATCGTTTGATATTATTTATTCTTTCAACAGAAATAACAGCTCGCTTCCAAACCGCAAGAACTGAGGTCCGTCAGTTGCTGCTGCAGTACCTGCTGCCTTGGCTTGTGAACATCGAGCTGCTGGACCCTAATGTCCCTCCTGCGAATCCACTCTCATACATACAGGTACGTTTTATTTTTTATTTATAAAACATTACTCTCATGATAATACAAACCACTGCTAGATGTAGAATTTCTTAATCATATGAGACAATTGGCGACCTATTTAACGAACCATTTCGTTAATTCATCATAATGCGTTAGCAAATCGATAAAAGTGAATGCCGCAACACTATTGTTATAAATATTTCGTCTCTGTTTTAAAAAAAATAATGGTCAAAATAAGTTTTACACAAGTAGAAGTAGTAGTAGGTAGTCTACGACATTGGAAACGCACCGTGAAGAGCATTAAATTTAAATTGATAAGTTTCACCTTTGAATTTAAATGATCATCCCAGTGAAGGCGCTCCGAACGAAATAATAAAAAAACATATAGACGAATTGTGAACCTTCTCCTTTTGAAGTCGGTAAAAATAGAGCATTATAATTATGCCTCGTTATAAAGTGGAAAAACCAGCAAAACGCTGGTAAATAAGTAAAATACGCTGTATAATATTAACAAATCGGTAACATCGATGGCTCTAGAGTACATAAATAAATGAATAACTTGTGAAACTTTTTAAACGGTTTATGAGAAAATAGGCACGTGCTGTAATTATAGTCCCTACTGCAGCGAACATATTTCTGTTTTAGACAGAATCGGGGCATAAATAGGGACGTCTATTTAAGTTTTATTCATAATAAGGATACATAAGATGGCTGGTAACAGTTTATGAATGTCGCTGACTGAATGCATGTCTATTTCTGTTTGCAGATATTTATTTTCAAACTAATTGCCATAGTATAATTTTGCAGCAAACCTTCACCTTTTTTCGGTTTTCCCTAAACGTAATTCTCGCTTTAATATTTGATGTATACTACTAAGAATACTAAGTACGGGTCAGTTATTTTCACGTTAAGTATTGTAGTGTCAAATCAAGGTAAATTAAGAAAGCAAGTAAACAAATCGTTTATGTTTTGGTAGATACTAATGAATGTCCTTTACCAGTCTCTAATTGAAATCAATTGACGACGCGCCGATACAATGTGAGATCAATTAAGTCAACAATGAGAACAGCGTGAGGTCGGCGCGTTTATATCAATTTCTTTTCTTGCGTTACAATACACTTCATTTCGGTAACAAACAAAAAACGACAAAATTCTATAGAAAGATATATTTAAGCCATTAAAAAATCTGAAAACCTATCGCAATTTTATCAAAGTGTAATGAACAAAAAAATGGCTATATTAATGAACCTCATGTGACCTCAAAATAATCTCGTCAAAAAAGCTTTATCTTTCTAAAAACAAAAATCAACAATTCTTAGTATCAGTGTAACATATTTTTTTAAATAGTCCTAATTTCGTAGTACCTCTTTTAAAATTTTTCATGACCAAAAGTTTAATTATTTATATTGTAAAGCCATAATTTCCTTTTTAATCTTGTCAAAGACCTGCGTTGCAATATAGATATTTTCCACGGTAATTATAATTACATTGTGTAATTAATTGATATCAAATCGATTACACCGCAAATGACGCGTCAATCACAGACTAATGTAGTGAACAAAAGTATACTTGTAATAGGGCTAGCTTCTGCCCGCAACTCTGTGTGCGCGAAGTTAAATAAAACTTAACAAGTAGTTTACGTGTTCGTACCGACTATGTTCTATACTTTTTCTAAATTTAATCAAGACCCATTTAGCTGTTTAGGAGATGCGTAGTAAAAAATCATCCAACCATCCAAATTTCCACATTTAAACATTAGTAACATGATATTACAGTCTTGTATAATTATAGATTAATTGGCACTAAGGCACAACTTTAGTTACCAATGTAAGACCGATAGATCTAAAGATGTCTAAAAAAATAAAAGACCCTTTTCGTTTAATCAAAGTAAAACTCTAATTACTAGACTTTTTAAAAGCTTAAATTTCAAGCTACAATAATGATTTAATGTTAATTAAAGACATTTACTAAGACAATTATTTAAGAATACCAAAGAAAAATGCCTCGAAAGGTTTTAATTATAATACATACACAATAAATGTACGTTTTTAATTTTAAACTGAACAATCTTTTGTTATGTGTATGTAGGGGTGCAGGATTGTTTGTATGTTGTTTCCTACCCTTTGTGGGAGAGGCCAACGTTCAATTGACTAATGCTTTGCAGCGGAAATACTGTTTGAACATCACCGAAATATGTTTGACTAAGCCCCATTCAGTCTGTACCGCAATATAGTCGCGGTAGAAAATGCAAATTTAGTTACTACATTCAAAGTTACCAAATTATACTCGTCTTCGAACAGTTAACTGTAGTTGAAAACCAGCAAAAAGCTAACTCATATTAAGTTATAATTTTTTGCAATATGTATTTTATTTCAACTTGGTAGGTTTGTACTCATACTGAATTTCTATTATCATTTACGTCTATTTTCGTTGACAGAACGTGGAAGAGCTGTATGTATTCTTTAACCAAACTCAATTTTTTTTATTTAGTTGTATTATTTTACTTGCCAACAGTACTACGCGTCGGAGGGAGGTCGCAGCGTGCGGCGAGAGGGCCTCGGCTCTGTGGAAGCTACTGAAATGGTCCTCAATAATTTATTCTACATCACTGCAAAGGTATGTAAGAATAAAAAAAGTTTACTTTTATATTTCAAACGTGAGAAAGCCATCTTTTGCAATATCTTATCTGTGGATGAATAAAATACTAATAATCTATTATTATCTAAAAATTTCGCATCTTTTCCTAAAATATCAATGTTGCAAACAACTGTGATAGCGCGATGTGCATTTTTCTAGCTCTAATGGTAGAAAGAGACTCAAAATGTATTGATAGATTTAAATGCATAGGTTAACTTTGGTCTATTATATACACGCAGTGCGGTTATGGCGACCAAATTAACATGGCGTCGGCTTACAACATAGAAGGGGAACTCATTCAACAGTATTTTGACTGACAAATTCGTAGTAAAGTAATTAAGAAGTGCACAGGGGCAAACACAGATATCCGCGCACGCTTCGATTACACCTTTTGAATTCAACCCTCTGCAATTTAATTACAAATGTCATTTTCCTGATGTAACATTTCCAAACATATTCTGTATCGAGAGAGAATTGTAGCCCGATTCAAATTAAATTTGTGCAAATCATATTAATGTTTGCGCAATGGTTAGGATCCAGGAAGCTGCGGTTAGTACACATGTAAGTGAATCGAAAATCTTTACTGCTGATAAAACGGAGGAACCGAACGCTACGACCGGGACATGTCTTCAAACCCGTCTTGCATATAAAGAGTGCTCGAAAGAGGATAGGGACATATAAATTTCATAATACCTTCTTCCATCACAAAACGCTCCTTAAATATGAATATCCCATTATACAACATAGCTTTATTCTAAAAACGTTGGAATGTCAAATACAAAACAATCTATCAAATCATATTGTTAGTTTATGTTAAATGTCATAGTTGATGTCGTTTACAATAGTAATAAGTGAACATGAATGTAATAATACCGTTATCGTGCTTTTCCACTGCAGAAACCTTTATACAAATTTATACAATGTATTCTACATAATTCGGCAGTGGGAACTCACGGTGAAAGAGAGGGTCATGATCGCTCGGCAGCAAGCCATTGTTAGACTTAAACCCTTCTTAATACTCCCTGTGTCCTCCCCTTCATAATCCGCACGGTCAAGGTCAGAACCTTCACAACGTCATCGATTAATTTGGAATACAAGCTTTGTACCTTCTTTCGAGGACGGGGAGATCACAGTAATTATCATCGAGATGACAAAGACAATTATATTATCACAAAACTATAAAACAGTAAGGTAGAGTAAGTAAAATTTATAAAAGTTTTATTATTTATAAAAGCAAATATAGAGAACACTATTAGTATCGTTTTCGGAATTACTTCCTAAAACTCATAAACTAATGTGTGTGTGTAGCAGTAGCTTCGCCATTTCGGCGAATTCATATGACCGCTTACTCGATTGCCACTTTATTATTAATAAAAAAAATTTGTACACACAAAAATACGCCATGTAAAACTACTTCCAAAGTACTAGTTTCTGTTTAAATTAAAATCGGCTTACATTTTTTTAGTCTGTTTAATTTGCAGGCAGAACGTTCCGGGTTGCGCTCAAATATTGCAACCCTTTCGGCTATTTACTAGGAATAAATTAACAGTTCGCTAGCCTGTTTCTGATTGCCGTATGTCAGAGTCAATGTCAATGAAACATGGAAGCTGGGTAAATTAAAAAAATATTGCAGACCGTTTGAAGTGGGGTCGGGGTGCGGCCAGTGTTATGTTGTTTGCATTTAGGCAGACGTTGACCGCATCGTTTTGTAACATACGTTAAACTAAATGAATCGCTCACATTTAATTGTACATACTCTGTGAAACTGACAACGAAAATTTTTGCTCAACTGATTAACCTATTTCTTTTTTTAAGTGAATGATAGCAATCGTTAAACCCTACCTTAGCAAGTTATGAATGCAACAATTCCACCAAATTTGCTTGCATTATTTGGAGCTGCAGTAGAATATTGCAAAAAAGGTATACATATTTAAACAGGTTTTAGTGTCGATAGTAAAACAAAGGTTACTTTATACTCCAGTTATATTTATAAAGTAAGATGATCAAAGTCATCGTTCCAAGTAATTACTTAGAGACAAGGTTAGTGTGTAACAACGCTCCGGGCGGTGTACTCACTTTCACCTAAGAGCTATTAATCGTTACCGCAACCTTCATGCGGAAACTATAACATATTCGCTGCCTTTATTTACCGCTCCCATAGGAGTTGCATGACCTGTGTCACTAAGCACTGTACTTAATAACAACCTTTAACAAGCCAAGGTTACTCATATTGAATGTTGCACGTGCTACCTTTGCTCGGGTTAAATTTCAAACGCAAATGCAACTAGTGTTTTTACTTATATTTTTTTCCTTCCTCCATGTAATTTGCTTACAAAAATTATTTGACTTTAAACATTTTTATTTCTCAAAAGGTATGATTAAATATCATTTAATTCTCCTGAAGAAAAAAATCAGTCAAGTTGTGCATTAGAATGACCAACGCGGAAGGTTATTAATTTTAATTGGGTGTAAAATCACTAATTGGCAAGGTTTACCCTATGCATTCGACTTGTACAAGCTTGAAACAATTAGATTGAAGTGCCTATGAGTTAGTTTTCTCCCCTTTACCGCATTCAATAGATGCAGTCTGTAGTATTGTTAAATGTCACCAATTAACAAGGAATTATATGAACGCTTTGAAATTCTCTCGATACTGCCAATTTGTATTCATACAGTTATGTGTGGGTGCAAACTAAGGTGCACAAATAGACTGGTAGATGCTATGACTCTGTGTGTGTGTGTGTGTCTGCGTGCGTGTGGGTGTATGTATCATCAGGGGATAAATCAGCTACCGATGTAAAATTTCAATAAACAATCGGAGGGAGATATAATGAGTGCTTTTGGCGATTACCGGCGACCCTCTGCAAACATATTCAAGGTCGCAGCATAAGGGGTGAGCAAGTAGAGTCAGGGAAGGGCACGACGCGCCCTACTTTCTGCCTCCTCACTGTCATGTGCCACAACACTACTTTGTTATCAAATAATGCAGCGATTTTTTTATTTTTAAATACATACTAGCTAGAGCCCGCGACTCCCTTCGCGCGGTATTTAATATTTGATTAGTAGCCCATGTGTCCGTCCAGCCTATATTCTATTTAATCCATATCCATGCAGCTGTTCTGGAGATACCTTGCAACAAACATCTTTTCATGCATCCATCCATCTATAGATTTGCTTTTAAAATATTAGTAAGATTATAAGCTTATTATATAATTTATTATATAAGTTATAATAACGCAAATTGATATGTTTTTGTTAAAATATTTAAGTACCCTTATTAGTGGCATTTAATTTTTAAAAAACGGAGAACATTTCTGTAAGTTAAATCCGACGACATAATTGGACGCAGTACTTTCAATAGTAACAGCCGTCCACCGATCGATCGGGCCCCTACATATTTTATCTAAATCTGGTCTCTATGTAGGCTAGTAATAGGGTAGTGGTTTCGTCATCAAACAAATTATGTGCTGCACTGTCGCCGTCCTTTGAAGTCTTATGTAACAAGGTTTGGATCGAGTTATCTGCTCCTGTGAGAAACCAGCATAACATTGACGTGGCTACCGATTGGGCGCTTAGATAATACAAGCCTTAGTTTGACGATTTGCGCATTTAATCTTTACATTGAATTGATTGTAATAATACTTTGTTAATTTAATGTGACTTTCATATTGTGCGTGAAAATTATATTGCTACTATTTTATGTTGAATTAGGTTTAAGTTTCATTGTAACATAATTTTACACACCATATTTTTTGCTTTTAATGCTTATTTGTTTTTTTTACAAATGCATTTATAGCCGTTTAATTGTTGACGCAGTTCTCGGACAACCACCCAAAGGAGATCGAAGAGCTATGGTCGACGCTGTGCGCTTGCTGGCCAAACAACCTAAAGGTTATTATTCGGTACCTCATCATTGTGTCTGGGATGGCGCCCAACGAACTCTTACCATATGTAAGTACATGAAACATATAATAATTTATCCAAGTAGACATTTTGTTTTTATAAAGCTAGATCGATAAACTTTGTTTTTTTTTTTTACTACCGTGAGATATGTGGTGAAGATAAGCCGAGTAAATACATTTATATGAAGTTATTGGTGTATAGAGCATGCATGCATATTGCATTATATGTTAGGACATACACAAAGCTTTTAATGATGTGGACAATCGGCAGTAGTAACTTAATACTGTTGTATTTGAACATCGTTTGTCTGGATTCGTCCTGCTCTGTCCTGCTTTGTCCTGACTTCTCCTGCCCAGTCCTTAATATATCAACAGTATCATATGTCTGTATCCCAAATGCTATTGTGCTTTGGCGATTGTATATACTTATGTAATTATACCTTAATATAGCGCCTTGACGATAAATAATTTAAAGATAAATAATTTTACCTATCAAATTATTTTGCGAAGCTATTACATAAATAATTATTCCTTTATCCCTAGTAACAATTATGTCGAAATGTTAAAATTTTCCGTTCCTCCTAATTGGACTCAATAACCTTGTTACTCGGATTTCTTATAATATGTCTACCTTTCCGAGAGAACTACTAAATTTTACTAAGAAAATTTTCCTATACAAATATCGGATAAACAAATTACCCGGTAAAACAATTAGTAAGTATTAGTGAAAATGAAGCCGGTAAGTCAAGATCGATACACAGTTGCCGGGCCGCTGTTGCGATGGGTTTTGAATTTCAAATTTTGTATCCAAGTGTATTAACAAAAGACTTTCCGATCGCCTTGAGAGCACCTTCGTTATAATGAGGCAAAAAATGAACATCGACATTGTAGCTCGAAAATAATCGTGGCACTCAATCAAATTGAGTGTATGTGAAAAAATATGTTGTTACCCTCTACGATTTATTAGTAGGCACTTTTATTTTTCGCAATTTTTTCACCTGTCTATCCGTATAATATTGCTACGTTCTGCTAATTTATATTCTGTATTCTACCAGGCGAAGCGCGTAGTGTTGTATCTGGCGCGGTCACGGCCTGAGAGACTTCTGGACGAGATGATGACGGAGCTGCAGACTGTTGAGACCCTCAACTGCCTCATCGAGCGCACTGAGACACCGCCCTTCTACAGGCTCACATCGATGCGCAAGGCCACGTCTGGGCACAGCGACGGCCCCGGCACTGGATCACAAGTTAGTCATTTAATGGTTTTTTATTTTTTTAATTAATCTACTGTGTCCCAGTGAGTACTAAATATTGTATTTTAGCGTTTTATATTAAATTAAATGCGGTTTTTGTCTTTAAACTGAATTAAATTATGGACAAATACTAAATAACAAACTTTGATAAATACGAACACGACAATTGTATGTTCGTAATTACAACGTTTAAAATTGTGGAACAGTACGAAACCCGCTTGAAACATTTCTAACTGAAAAGTTCACAGTTTTACTACAACTCAAAGCAGGCTTAGAGTGCAAATAAATATTTCTGTTGATATGTAACATACACTTAAATTAATATACATTTTATAAAGTTTGCTAAACTTTTAAACGAAACTTCACTATGCTTGTTTATAAAAAAATACAAGGTTTTCTACTAATTAGGATTTTCTTTTTCACAAGGATGCCGCAGGTCGAACTGGTGAATTGGCTCCAATAGAAAAAGGCACGATTCATACGAAGAGGCACAGCGGCGAAGACCCGGCTAAATCTTGGTATGTATTTATTAATAGATAAGTTTATTAACTTTCTTCACAAGCGAAGCGCACAGATAACGCCATGCGAAAGAATATTGTAATGAATTGAACGTTTCGAAGTATATTGCATGCGGCTAGAACAACAACGCAGCGGCGAATACTATGTGACAAATACCTTGTTTTGAAGCGCATTGTATAATTTTCTATGTTATAGATAAAGACTTGTTGTTTCACTTGATTTGTTTTAATTTTAATCGTTGCGTGCCACTACTAAAACAACTGTACGTACTATCATTCTCCATGAGCAAACTAAAGAACATCATGTTACAATTGTTATGCTTAAGTGACCTTTTTGCTTAAATGATCACCCTTTTAATATTGCGCATTTAAAAAACATCATGTTGTCCGTCACATTATGTGTACATATTTACAACTTGCATCGCATAAAACCCCTCGCAACAAACCCTATTTATGTCGGGACCATCGACTTTATACTTATTACATTTTTGTATTGACCCTTCAGATATTTCCCCTTCATTTTCTAATGAAAAGCTCGTGTGGCAAGTGACAAGCTATTAATTATTCTCAGAACATTTTATATATTTTGAGAAGTTTCCCGAGTTACCTATACTACTTATTCTTCTTAGTAACAATAGAAATGTTGATATCAACTTATTACAATACCTATATTTATTCTGATATTATTCGCCGTAAGGAAAATATTATATTACGTGCTTCGGGGAATAATAAACAATTTGTATATCTTGTTGCCGAGCGGCTGACGCGAAATTTCTTATTGTCTATTGTACGCTCGTTGCTATGGTTTGATTTCTAAAGACTAAACATATTTTTTCTCCAACTTTGTACAAATAAACTCGGTCGATATAGATTTTCACAGAAGGTTGTATGTATGTTCTGTGTAATTGCGTTTTTAGTCTGTTACATTTATGATGGTTGTTTCTGACAATATCTAGACCCCGGCAGCCGTTTGCGATGCCGTCCGTTCGACTGGACTTATGAAGGACGATGTCGAGCAAGGGTTAAAAATTTTTATAACCGATTTATGCGATTAAAAACCTTATCCGCCACAGTTGAAGTTCTTTATGGTCTAACACAAGCGTTTGCGTTATTACATTATTTGCTAGCTGTTGTCCGCGGCTTCGCGTTTGTTTTATTTCCTCGGCTTCTGTATTCGAGATTCCACGTATATTAAATATGTCAAAACATTCTTATTCTAAAACTACAAAGACGCTTTGCCATTGCAGCCGACGTTACATTATAAAACTTTACTATTGATATAAATCATTGGTAAAGTTTTATTAAATCAAATTGTAACTTTATATGTACACATTTTTTTGCGCTAACAATGTGTAATTACGTGCACAATGCATAATATATTTGATATAATACACATAGCACGCAACCATCGGTCGTGTGATTTTTTCAATAAAACTGAAGTAATAAGCTCGCACGACCGACCTCGTAGACTGTTGCTACGACATCGTCTACGATGAAATTTTTATTTATTTAAATGGAAAACTATGATTTGCAATTATTCGTTCTGAATTATAACTAACGTTAATCAATAAATATCACTCTACGTGTAAAGGACCTGAGGCATTTGTGATGTCGGAAACATTTCGGCGTGCCTTTCATTGTTTTACCGGTTGCATATTGGGAAAAGCTCGCTACCATTCACTGTTTAGACATATTGACAGGTCTGTATTCATACATAGCGATGTTGTTAATCAACAAAACTTACTGTTTTCTTATTTATTGCATTAAATTTTTTGTATCTCTTTTTGAATTCCAGATTAAAAATCATAAGATAAAATATTAGTATCTTTCGTCAAGTGCCTTTAAATTAACTGAACTGTGGTTTGAATCTTATACATAGGAGCAATGAGCAAATAAATATACAACAAAAAATCTACTTTTCTCTGTTGGAAAACCTATTGTGAAAATAATCTGTGTGTAACAATGTTTATTTTCGTGACAATGTTTAAATCGTCTTTACACAGGCGCTAAGATGGGTATTTACCCGTGACTGAGACTGAGAAAATCTCTATTCACTGCATAGAAACCTTTACTCTTTGAGACGTTTACATAGAAATCCCCTTGAACAATAAAGATAAACTATCGGTCTTTCTTTTCTAGATTATTCCTTTGTACTTTTATAATATAATCCCGTTTAGGTGTGTTTTTGTGTTAACAAAATACTACAAGTTTAAAGATACTATAGACTAATATAGATTTAATTCAAAGACAATGCACAGTAAGAAGTTTACGCTCAATACTTTTTAAAATAAATTGTTAATTAAAATGACGAGAGAGAATACAATTCGAATTACACCTCACTTGTTAAAAATTGCTTCAACCCTTTAGGCTACAAGAGCTCACTATGAACTGGATATTCGTAAAAATACACGCGTTCACTAACATATTTACATCCCCGCGAAAATCATTACCTTTCTGTCAGTCGGGGAATAATTGGTCGGCAAACGTCAATGTCTCGTGCAAATATTAAATGAAGCTTCAATATGAAATCAACGATTTTAATTATAAAAGACTGGATCATGATGTGCGAGCCAGACGCGTTGGCGGTGAATGCAAACGGACGTCGCGACCACGTCTGAAATTAATTTCCCAAAGTTCTCAAATATAATCGTACGTTCGACATGATTTAACTTCACAAGCGGAACCGGTTCGTTTGCTGGATTTTAATTCAATTAGTGACGATATTGTAAATGCGTTCCCGAACAATTTGCAGTACAACTCAATTATATTCCAGACCTACGTGAAACTAACGCGACGGATTTCATGGTAGAAGTGGCGCGGGATATTAACAGAACAAAACAGGAAATTCCGTGCACCTCCGTTCCCTTTCATGCATTCCGCATGCGAGCGATGCTACGAAATATTACACAACTTTTACACGAAGTTTCACAAGCCAATTTAATGTACATTAAAAAATCCTCTTTATAATATTTTTGCAAAAAAGAGCAACTGCATCTAGCCTTCACATCTAGCTTAATGTCTTTTCTCCTTCACGATTGACTGGAGTTTATAAGGCCATTTTTTATTTTGTCGTTATTTTCTATATTTTTTAAATTAAACGCCGCAATGTTAATTACGTTTTAAAAATCACGATACTTCATCATTATGTAACTCTAAAGCATTTCTTTCAATCAATTTAGATTGCACATATTTCGATGATAAAATAAAAAAAATGCATCGATGTGTCTGTATGTAGCATAAAAAATATCGTATTTCGTACCTATGGTATGTTTGTGCAGCTGAACACGAAAAACCCATTTTTTTATTTTCACGTGTCTGTCCGTAAGGCCGTGTTTATTCAGGGTAAGCTCCCGAACGGCTAGACCGATTCTGACAGAACTGTAACATGTAAGTGATTGACGCTCGCGGGCATGTTTTAGACTAATTTTATTAATTCTGCACGAACGGATTCGCGGGCTACCGCTCGTTCATAAATGAAGTGGAACATTTTAATAAACATTCAACTTAAACATAACATGAACAACTAGCAAAACTGAGCTCAAGCTCCTTTTTATGTTTGTTCAGAGTCTTTTTGTTGGAAGAGTTTGAAATTAATAATATACCGAGCATCGATTAAAAGTCATCATTAGTCTACTATACTTCCTGTTTATTTAAAGACTAGCTCTTGTCTACGACTTCGTGAGCGAACAATTAAAAAAAGTAGCAACAACATAAACAATCACATTTATTCGAACGTATGATGATGATGATGACATTCAAATTTTATTAAAATTTATAGACACCGCTACTTTAATTAATCGTGGATATTGACATCCCTGACATCCCTTTGAACAATCAGAGAGAACATGTACATATGTGTGTGTGTGTGTGTTAGTGAGACACAATTGTAAAATATGTGTTTCCACTTCCGAAACTCTGATATAAAAAAATATCATAACTTCTGTAAATACAATGTTATACAGATCTTAGGTCGACAGTTCAAATTCACAATCACAATAAAAGTCAGACGAATAACAAATAATAAATGTTTATTCAATGTAATTAACTACTTCTAGATTTCCCAAAAGGATTTTACAAATCAAACAACAATATTAATATTTCGTACAAAATCTAATAATGTCGATCTAATATCACTTTTATTACAAAGGTATGTTATTGCTCGATTATGGGAGGGAATGTTTTTTGATGTTTCCCTAGAGTGCGCTAGGGTTACAGTCGGGCTTTTTAATTTTTTTTTATTAAATACTAGTTTATTACTGACCAACGTTTCTGTTGGGGTGCTGTCCAACACACAGTTTTGCTTAAATGTTGTAAGTGTATTAGCAATGGGTTCTCAGTTTAAAAGTCTAAAAGAAGAATGCTTATAATAGAAATTACGAGGTAAAGAACTTTTGTTCATTATTTGCTACCCAGCGAAACTTGAAACCTTAATTGGTATTATATTATTCGTATTTCTCATAATAACAAGTGAACAAGAGAGACTACATTTTTTCTAAGTACTATCAGAGTTCAAAAGGTTTTCTTTATTCGAGACAAACATTTTATATTCGCTTAACAATATTATGAATTACAGAATAAAATAGAATATGAAGGATCTTTCAAGATAAATTTTCAATAAAATTTTGCAGATAATTGATAAACCGTTCAATATATTTTCCATTTAAGTAGCCATGTACCGGTATCTGCTTATATACTCGTTACAAGTACATAAGAGCTTTCGAGAATACTAGGAAATCATATGTACAAAGAGACAGTCGCTTAATGATATGGTAGCAACTTCGCCGGCTCAAGGGATTATGAATTCTGAAATGTAGCAAACGAGTCGGGACGATTGTACGATTAGTTTCGACGATGGGTGAACGAACTATACGTTTCGCTTCGATTGAAAATGGCCACTCCATAGAATAAAAAATCTAAAAGTACGTGTCCGAAAATACCTTTAGAATAAGAGACGACGAATAAGTCTGTGTATAATATTGTTGCTCAGGACAGTATTGGTAATTATTTCTTAACGAAACAGTTAGTTTATGCAAAAAAATATTGTTCAAAGTCATCGATGACATATTGCACTTTAAGCACATTTTCGCATTAGAAACATGAGAACTGTCAAAGACACACATTTTCCAATCGACGCCATGTTGGATAAGCGAATATTGCTGTCGCAAAATAACAGGTGCGAACGACGTCGGTGGAAACAACTAAAGACAGGCGACATTGTGCGCAGCGTGCACTTATTTCACCACCATTAAAATAAATAAATCCCTTGACTAAATATCAATTTTTTTTAACAAGTTTCAAATTTGATGTCACAGTTCATTATACCCATAGGTTGTGCATCTCGCGACATAACAGCGAACAAAAATTCTAACTTGGACGTTACCCTCGTAATTTTAACCACCTAAAGATATATATAAATAAGTTAACAAATTGAATACACCTACAATCACGGCCCGCGCGGTAAACCCCACCGTGTCCTCATCGACATCGAGTTGCTGACGGGGGGGTTGTAACGAACCATGACCCTTATAATATACTAAGATACACCAAACAGGAAATTTAAGTCTATTAATTTGTTGTATTAATTATTTGATATAACAACATGATACAAATGATTTAATACGTGGAGTCAAGTCGGCCGCGGGCATTAGGAGCCGTCACTAGGCTCACAGCAAACATTTATGTGCCTAATGTAATTAGTAATAGCGTAAACACAATATCCAGTCGCTACTCCTCTATAGGGACTATTGTTATTATATAACACAATGACGGCACAGGACCTTACATAGTGACGACGGATGGGGAGGATAGATAGACGCGAGCTGAATGAATGGATCGATTACATAATATTGTAGCCTTATGTTGATATATACTTGTAGAGAGATATATGTTTTTTAATTAAAGGTTAATTAATAAAGTAAACACTCTCAAAACTGTCCAGATATTTATACAACATTTTTTAACTTATCTCTACCATATTATAAAATGTTAATGTCGCTGTCATTTAGGTTTTTTCATCGACAAAAAACCAAAGTAAATTACCTTGCTTTGTTGCGTTGAAAACATTGTTGCCGTGCAATTGAATTTCATAATCCATAATACATAAAGTCCTGTAGATTTCCTTTGAAAAATAATATTTTGATGTATTCCTTATAAATATTTCACTTTTCCTGAGGCCAAATTGACCATGCATGTGCAGCTGCGCCTCTGAATGCGAAATTAATTTAATTCTCATGTTTAATAAAGGATTTGAATTGATATTATTCTTGATGCAACTGCGACTTGAGATATCCTAAAGAATATTTTTATAACGCTACGTTTAAAAATTCGATCCTAAAAAAAACTTAATAGCCAGACTATAATCTACCACTCCTTCCAATTTTATTTAGATTCGTTCTGTCGTTGTGAAGTCACCTGACAAACCTTATAATATTTGTAATATATTGGTATGCATTGTATTTGTCGGCAGCGTGGGTAAAGCTTGCGAGACACCGGGGGCGAGGGGGCAGGACAAGCGTTCGTCGGGGCCACCGTGCACGCCCCCCGTGGACGACGAGCCCCCAGCGCCCTCTGACGGCGACGCCACACCGGTAACACCGTCCACAATTCAATATACCTCTAGCGCTGCCTGCGGCTTTGCATGCATTTTTTTTCTTTTTAATTTCCTATCTAGATTTTTTTTCTGTTTGGTTCCTCTGTATATGAATAACCTCTGTATTCCATTGCCGTGGCATTTGTATTTGTACATATTCTCAATGCTTTCATTCTCTTTGGTAACACTAAGTCTGTATATCATTATAGGTGTCACGCCAGTAAAATTCTTTAGTAAGATGTGTTTTTATTCTACTGATCCATTAGGTAATGCCAACAGACCAAAAAATATGTTTCACTGATTTTTTTTTCACATGAAACATTTTAATGTAATTGTTTTTAAAACAAGTCTACATTGGAACATAATTTTATAGTGATAGTAGGAATATAAAAGTACGTCACTAAAAATGTATCCAAAAATAACACATCAAAGGTATTTGACAAAAAGATGGTATTAAGGATAAATATTTTTTTTTAATGTTGGTACAACTTATCTTTGACTTCCTTCAAACACTACAATATTGTTATTGATTTTCTCTAAAGCTGTCGATTGCTAATCGCTACAAAGACTCGCACACAAACAGCTATTTAATTTGTAGACTTTTACTTATTGATAACATATTTTCTCTGTTTTTGATTCATTTATGCTTTTATTGAAATGGACATAAGATATTCTCATTTATAGGCTTGATAATTATTTATTTTTATTCCATTAAATCTAAAATATAATAGTTGAAAATGAAACTTCCATAAAGTATAATACTAATGTATGCGTTCCGCAATAGTAAATGGTTGTAATTGTTGATCGAAAGTTATAGTAAGTATTCAAATAATTTTTCATCAAAAGCTAATGATGTGTTGTCTTATATGTTATATAAATTTAGCTGAGTATTATATATGTTGTAATTACTTGTTGATTGACCAAAAGGCGTCAAATGCATTCAGGCAAATGTAACAAGCAATTACTAGGAGTATTTATTGAAGCGTTATAATATGCATCAGTAAATAGGATAATTCGCTTGTTACATGAAATGCACTACGCGCCTCTGATAAGGACCTTTACAAACCGATAATTGACTTGTCGCCGCATTCAATAGTAATATTGGAATGGATTATTGATTAAATTAGCTATGTTAATCAACAGGCATAATAATCTTGATTTATGTCACATCTATATTTGGTTTCCATACTTTGACATGAGTTACAGATATATATTTAGTTTATTTATTTTCTATCCTACATCTTTTTCATACCATTAGCCCTTTTATCAAAGAATTTTACTTTATACTTTTTTAATTTAGCGTAGAGATGTGCGAACAGTATCTAAATAATATTAAGATAATATTAACTGCGATAATATTAACAGTAGACTCGGTGGCTAGTAGACTCGGTGGCTCAGTGGTTTCAGCACTTGACTTGTAATCTGCAGGTCCTGGGTTCGAATCCCGCCATGTACCAATGTGTTTTTCGATTTCCGATTTACATATGTACATTTATCCGACGTTCTTACGGTGAAGGAAAACATCGTGATGCAACCTGCACATATCTGAGAAGAAATTCAAAGATATGTGTGAAGTCAACCAACTCGCACTTGGCCAGCGTGGTTGACTATGGCCTAGTCACCCTTAACGTAGGGTAGGCTCCGAGCCCCTCGGTGGGGACGTATAGTGAGCTGATGATGATGATGATGATTAACTGCGATCTAAATATTGTTCGAAGCAAAAAATGTAATATCCCTGACTACGAGTCTCTTTGCTCGTTGAGCATTTAGTATAACATATCCTTGTATCTGTACGTTATGTATTTCAATAATTCAGAATTGACAACGATGCATTCGACTCAATAATTTTTTTTTCGATCGAGCTACGTATGTATTTTCATGTTTTCCACTTGGATGAATGTCGTTAATCTATTTAGTCCGTCAAAGGGTATTTTTAATATTAAAATTTCATCTGCGTTTCGAATCTGATGTAGTTATTTTGCCATGTAAACCTTGTTGAAACATTCAGTTTTCGTTGCGATTTTTTTGTTTATTAGGTCTTCACAAAACGCGAACCGATTTATCGATAACTGTAACGAGGAGTTAGTCCGGATCCCCGCAACACCGGCTTACGCGTAGCTACAGACCTCCCCCATTGTTTAATATCGATTATGCTTCGTCCAGACTTCAAACAAAACCTACGTTAGTTATTCCAGTGCGCGCAGGGCTCTAATTTAATTCCATAAAGCCCTCCGCTCCCTCCCGAGAGTATAATCTTATTCATTAGGATTATTAATAATAGTTGTCATTGTTGTCAATCCTTCTACCTAGTATCCCATATGTTGGTGGGGTCAAATTTAAGTCTCTCTCGCTCTGAGCTGAGTTTCATCGGCATATCATTTAAGGATTAAAATATTATGTTCGTACAAACGGACAAATATACTACAAATATTACGTGATATATCTGTTGGCTTGGTTAAAGTAAAATAGCAGGATGCTGTCAATCACTTTTATATTCCAATGGCAATATCGAGACAGACATCATAAATATTAAATAGAAGACTGCTCTCACCTTTGCCTGCGCAGTACCATCCTATTGACTTTACATTGTCACAATCATGTAGATTGTTGTGTCGTTGAATTTTACAAAACAAAAGTTCATTGGAAACCATTTCACTTAATATACATTTTGTATCAAATCTTGTAAAACTTATTGATATGCCAAAAAGTAAACTTTGCTACAACTTTAAAAACGATAGAAAGAAAAAGATATAAGATACCTAATGACTTGTAATCGTAAAAAAATATTCTCTGCACTTATCTTTAATCTCTATTATATTGACGTAATTTTTATTTTTGTCTTCGCAATTTCGTAACCGGTTCTAAATAATAGCAGGTAACAATATTTTATATCAATAATATGCATAAATAAAAATTATTCCGAAGTATTCAAATACAAAAAAAAATAAAGATAAAATAACGAAATTGTAATATTGTATCCAAAGCTTTACAAGCGGAATGAAATCTTCCGTTTAATGAATAGCGAATTCATTGGGAGGAAAGATTTTCTAAATGCATTTCCCGTAGCCCTGTTCTTAAATAGCTGTACCCGGCGAAACTTCATCGTTTAAAACTTTTAGTTGATTGAATCTCAATTATTTGTTACAAACGACGACACAATATTATTGATTCGAGATACTGTAATTGAAAACGAGTATCTTGAATTAAAACTTTTTACATTGTACATTTAAACATGAAGCTTTAACATTTAATTTCATTATTAGCAGACGATAAATATTGTACATTGTGTACACTGTGTACTGTGTACACAATATTGCAAAATGTAATTGTGTAATACTGCGATATGTGAAACAAATATATCTACATTGGAGTTGGGAGGAATCAGTTATATTGCTATTGATCAATAAAACCTTATTTATTCAGTAATGTAAAGTGTACGTCTGGGATTTTAAAAAGAAAATCCATTAACTAAAAACAGATTAATACTTCAAACATTTTATTTAAGCTTATGTTCAGCATTTATTTATTTTGTTTTCTTGCTTTAACATGTGGCATTTTTAATAAAAACGTACAGCTAACGCCATCTTCAATCACACAGCGAAAACTTCTACGTTTGAGTATGACTAACTTAGTAAATTTTCATATTTTTATTATTTCAAAATAAAATTACAAAATATATTTATTATGGAAATATAAGATGCAGAATTATTTTTCATGCTATGGATCAAAATTCGTAAATTTATTCCATTGTAGACCGGCTTGGGTCCGGAGCTGCACGCTACTCCGACCGGCAGCGCGCCGGCGACGCCACAGGAGGCCAGGGTGGACGCCCCTCAGCCCCGGCCCTTGCCCATGCCTGAGTACGGCGGTTACTTCGCACTCCTCACCGAGTACTTACCTGACAGCAACCAACCTATCTCAGGATTCCACAGGTAAACACACATATCACACTTAGGGTGCGTGCCTCCATATCAAAAGCGTCACGCGATATAGACGCTAGATGTGGACGCACCCTTATCTTAAAATTCCACTGCTATCATTGTGTTTGCTATCATGTGGTAATGATATGTTTTTATACAAGGCTTTTGACAGTGCAAAGAGAACCTTCTTTGAATATAAAGAAAGGCTGCTATAAAAGCAAATCAAAAAGGTTATATTCAAATATAATTCTTTCAATAAATCGCCTACTCAGTTCCATTGGGAGTTCTTTGAAAATAATATAATATTTCTTATAACGAGGCTTGTTTATCTTGTTGTGGAATTCCACTGCCTTGATATTTTTATTAATACATACTGTTGTTTCTATTTTGTCTATAAGAGGGAAAGGGATAAAAGTATTCAGAAGCACGAGTGTCACGGCAGTGGAACTCTACGATAATGTATTTATTTGTACTTAGTAAACTGCTCGAAAATTAATTGAACCATTTATTTGTAACGTGGGATTGTATTATAGTTTATTTTAGTACGGTTAGAAAATTTAGCTTATTGGAAACGATCAATTATGGATTTTAGATATAAGAAAGAAAATTCTTTTTTTATACTTTTTGATTTGAAAAATTACTCACTATGAGTCGTTTATGTAGTCTCAAAAACCCTTAATGTTTTCACCCTCGTTGTGCCTCTGGGCATAAGAGCGGAACAAAAGCAAATTGTAGTACATCCATTATGTTTGATGTTTGTCCAGATGCAATGTTGCGGTGATGTTGCTATGCGACGTGGTACTGGACGGCGTCGAGATTGATTGGTCGATACATGTACCACTTATGCTGCACATTGTATTCCTCGGAATGGACCATACAAGGTAAGCGATATGAACAAACAGCCAGCGTCTGACTATAGACATAGACATATGATCCCTCGTGTTTTATTGTGAGCTGTTTGACCGCTTTAAAACTACGTTCCAGATTACGTCACGAGGGGCATAATTATACAATCATTTCATTACATATTTTCATAATACCACTAGCTGTCGCTCGCGACTCCGTCCGCGCGAAATAAAATAATAATAAGTAGCCTATGTGTTCTTCCAGAGTATGTTCTAAACGTGTGCCAAATTTCATCAAGTTCCATTGAGCCGTTCCGGAGATACCTTCAAACAAAAATCCATCCATCCATGTAACCTTTCGCATTTATAATATTAGTAAGATTTAACATCTGCTGATTGACATTTAGTTACGATACACTAATTGATTTGTGTATTTTTTTTTTGTCAGATGGATAGTACACCAGCACTGCCGGCAACTGCTACTCAACCTGCTGGTGGCTGTGGCGGCGCACCACGACCATCTGACGGTCGCGCGCACGCTGCTCGCCAGCCGCAGCGCGCACCTCGGCCTTACGGTTACCGCTCCCCCACTGCCCCTACTACAGCATAACTTTACTGGTCAGTACGCAATTTCTTTGTCGTCTCATTTTAAATTAAATATCCAATTTTTTTTCAATTCTTTAAGGCATTGAATTTGTTTTTGATGTGAAGAAAAATTGTTATAGAAAAGATAAAAGAATATTTATATAAAAGAATCTTTGCTCAATAATAGCTCAAAAGGTCTCTATTTTCTTGATGTAAAATAATATGAGTGCCTCTTTTGCCTCGTATTATCCTCCCACGTCTGTCTGTGTCTGCACAAGGTGGTTCGATGTGCCTTTATGGCACTTGAAACTTTAGACGTCTTGCTATTATACATTATTACTTTATATTTCTGTTATAGAAAATGAATAAAATTCTACTAAATTAAAAAATATATAAAAAAAAAGAATTTTTGATTTATGATCCATTTCAAATTTGTATTTTTTTTTTTGCTAATAATTTTCACCCTGTCATTATTTCTTATTATTTAACGATAATCGAAATACAATAGTTTATCCAAAGGAGACATAACAGTGAAAAAAAGAATCATGTATTTTCTTTGTGAATCAATGCATTTGTGTTATAAGACAGCAAAGTGGATCAGTGTTTTCAATGAAAACATATCGCCGAGTGCAGCGATCTGACCCGCTTTGCGAATGGGGTTGCGGCTCAATCCACCTCTTTGTTTGATTATTTCGTCTCCGTTGCTATCGGACGGACGGCTAGTCTAATTTTTTGATACTTTATACACCCCTTGTTCGATGAAATATTGCCTAGTCCTTATAAGGAATAAATAATACGATTCACTTGCACACGTATTACTTCAAATGGGCAATCAAAATTACTTGTTTTACTTTTATTAAATTCAAGATTTTTGTAATGGACAGTGATATAATGCTTACTCTATAATATTTCATTTTATTATAACATACTGTAGATTTCATTTCGATGTTTATTAAAAAATAAAATCTATCAAAGGCTTTATAATGCCGGGAGATTTTCAATACATGCGCCCTATATTGCAATCGATAGTCGTAAGAGTTATTACGACTCTCAGTTATGAATTTCGCTCCGAGCTCATGGAGTTTTGAGCCTTGACACTGGGAAATGATATTAAAATATGCATATGCATACTAGCTGTCGCCCCCGACTTCGTCCCCTTCGTCGGGTTTATTATGCAAGAAAAGTATTATTAGTATATGATTCGTTCTGCTTCCTACAGTTTCATGATACAAATATTCATTGTCCAAAATTATTATATTATTAAGATATATTGGCGTAGTCGAGATGTCAAATGTAAATTATTTGTTGTTTTTTTTAGAGCCGGACGCTACATTCGATAAGACGACTCAATGCGCGCACTCTCCGCGCGCGACCGCACGCTCGCTCAGTACTGATCCTCAGGTCACGCCTGAAGGTACGCACCCATCTACACACTGGCTTAAGTAGCGGCATACAGACACACCACAAAACTGTGTTATATATACAGTTTCTAATACCTTGCAAATATTTTCATACTAAGTATTAGATTTTCAATACAATTGTAATGGGTTAAGACTAGATTTACACTATTAGCAATTCACTTAGGGTGTGTTCTTCTATAAAATCTTAGGGTAAACACTCATAATATGGATATTACTGGTCGGCCCTAGCCATTACACCACCAGTATAGAAACTTTGAATTAGAACTTAAAAATTTATGGCGAGAATTAAAAACCACTTCGGTTTAAGGGTATTGATTAATGCTAAGACTTAAATAAAGAAGCTGTGTGTGTGATCGTATCATTGTACGCCGACGTGGAATTGAATTTCACTGTCTACTTTTAAATTTAATATGATAATAACAAGGGGTAAGTAAGTATATAAAGGGTAAAAAATCTCAACACAAAGGGTTGCAGGGGTTCTTTTATAAGCTACAACATAAGTCGTGTTGTTTCGGATACTATAGCCCCTACATTTATTACATAAGGCTAACAATGTTGCAGGTGAGACGGACAAGTATCCGTCTCTGCCGGTGATTATAACTGGTGAGGGTGAGGCGGGCGAGGCGGAGGGTGAGGGTGGCCTGGAGGCGGGAGACGCGGGGGAGGCAGAGCTGCCCGTTGCTGACGTCATCAAGTCCCTCGTGCACTTCCTAGCAAACAGACCCACGCATATGCCCCTTTGGCAATATGAAGATATTACAGCTAAAGGTACGTATGCGTACTTAGTGTTACAAAACAAATTACTTTATTATGCCTTAAAATTATGAATTATTTATGTGAAATTGGAAACTAAATGTTAATAATTTATGACATAACGCACATGAATATGGCTGACTGATTAAAATGTACAAAATGAAGATGTCGCACTTTATTTATATTCGTACTAGCTGTCTTCCGCGACTCCGTCTACGCGGAATTTAAAAACACTAGTCATGCCATCGATACTAGACTTCAACGAGATCAGTGCAGCCGTTCTGGAGATACTTTTTAACATACATCCAAAAATTGGCATTGATAATATTAGTAAGATATAATCAATCTTATAATACTTTTATTTGTTCTTATTCAGTGTGGAGCCTGCGTAGCTGCCAGCAGATGGCGACGCTGGCGCGTCACGCGCTGCGCGTCTTCCGCGAGTCGTTGCCGCACGCTCTAGTTTCGGAGCGGTGGGCGCAGACCGCACTGCAGCTCGGCCTCTCCTGCCCCTCGAGGCACTACGCCGGACGATCGCTGCAGGTAAACAACACATCCAAAAACCTTCTTCGCCGCTATGATCACCGAAATATCCTATTTTTTATCCTTATAGCCATGATTAAGGGTACGACCACATCCGACCACAAAGTCCTGGGACGCAAATCTTATCTTTAGACTATTTGGCAATTACAAAAACTAGCAATGCAATCTACCATATTCCAAAGTTTTATTGCAGCGAACAAGATCTCTCTGTTTTTCTTTAAAGAGTAAATAAGTTGCCCTATCGGTGTTACAATAATGGATGCTTACAATACCTAAACATTGTTCCGCAGGTGTTCCGTTTCATCGGTGTAGCGATGACAGGGCGCATGGTGACAGACATCCTGTCTCGTCTCGTGGAGACAGTCGCGGAACAGGGCGAGGACATGCAGGGATATGTCACGGAGCTGCTTCTGACCCTGGAAGCGGCGGTCGACTCCCTTGAGTCTAACTTCCGACCGCTCGATTATATGCGTGACATCTTCAAATCTACACCCAATCTGAACAACAAAGATGGCGGACAACAACCCAACGGAACACCGTTTACCGCAGGTAAAATATGGGTTTCAAGAAACGCGGTGCCGGGGAAACTAAAATTTAGCCAGATATGTTACTTGTTTTGGTAACCTTGTAAAACCTGCCTTTGTAAAATTAAAAATTTTCTTATAATATACCAGTAGACAGATGGAATAGTAAAGTATCAAGAATACTGTATACTATAATAAAATAAAATTTTAACGCACTTTTAAAAAAAAAAATTGAGTGAGATTATAATCTCTATTCCAAATTTTCGCGGTTTTACAGTTACGTGTTTAAAAAAATCCATACATTAATTTGTGTCATTGACGTGTGTTGTATTTATGAATTTGTTGTACACCTAGGCAAGCGGTCGCCGGGCGTGTGCGTGGGGTGCGCGAGCAACCATACACGCAGTACGAGCTACTCCGTGTCCGCGCCATACTGCGTGCGTAAACCCAACGCTACGGCAAGCAGCGCGGACAAACAGTCGCACGGTCAGTTACACAAATTTCACTATTTTTACACAATAAATTAAAACCAAACTTCACAATTTTTATTAATAAAAGCATTTTTACCAAGTCTTTTTTTATTGCCTTGTCTACATGAAATAAAAATAATTACGTACGATCGAAAAAGTACTTTTAATTAGTTTTATTGATCCTGTAAAGAAATGATTCATTAATGTTATTTATTATTATATTTCCAGACCGCAGTCGACCGTGCAGCGACTCATCTAAAGGATGTTCTAATTTGTGCCGCTCGCGATCCGCCCAGTCTCTCAAGTTGCTTGGCGACAGTGCAACACAGGTTAGGGTAAAAACATATTTAACGTTACATTTAAATGTTTCACGCTTTATTTGTGACTGTGATCAACGTCGAAGCATAAGCATTGCTTAAATGTTCAGTATTGAAGTTTTGTACCAGGTGAAATTATCTATTTTTTTTGTTTATCATCAGGACGACAAGCTGACGATCCTGGCGACGTTGTTCTGGGTGGGCGCGTCACTGCTGGAGTCTGACTACGAACATGAGTTCCTGCTGGGCGTGCGGCTGTTGGCGCGCGTCATGGCTCGCCTGCCACTCGACAGGCCCGACGCACGAGACCGCCTCGACCGCACCCAGGCGCATGCAGCGCCCGCACTCCATGCACTCCTGCTCAAGGTACACATGTACTGTCAGGTAATCTGACGGTATTCCACCTTTAAGTAATCGTTTGAACGTTTCGTATCCATTGATACGACAATAAAATAAAATGTTTACGTGTTGTAGCAGTTTCAATGGTAACAGTGCGAGAGAAATGGCAAGACTATTGCTGTCTCGATCTTGCATTCTCATATATTCATTTCTAATTTATTATCTATTCCAGGGTTGCACTCATCCCAATACATACGAGCCGGTAGTGGGCGTGCTAGCGGACATGATCCCACTGCTGGAGCTTCCCGTGATCGATCCCACACAGTCCATGGCATTCCCCATGACTGTAGTTGCATTGCTGCCATACATGTTGCTACACTATGAGGACGCAACAGAACTCTGCGTCAGGGCGGCTTGTCATATCGCACAGGTAAACTAAAATATAGACCGACAATCTCCTGGCTGTATTACAGTTGTGTTGTATTTTTTCTTTTATGGCATTTTCTGAGTTTAAGTAGATTTTATATATTTTGTGAACGACTCTGAGGCGGCAGGCCAGATATTCTTGTTTCGCTTTAGGATTATTTCATCAGTAAATTAAATATTTTGTTGTAAACTTGTTATAATAGTAATTTGTTTCTATTCGCAGTTCACAGCTGAGAAGAGCAAGAAACTAGAGAATTTGGGCACAGTGATGACGCTGTACTCTCGCCGAACCTTCAGCAAGGAGAGCTTCCAATGGACCAAATGCGTTGTCAAATATCTCTGGGACACCTACTCTCATCTCTCACTGCAGATGCTCGCCTTCCTCGTTGAAGTGCTCGAAAAGGTACTATATTAAATAAACGAAATCTTTTTTTAATATTTAAAGATTTTTTTAATATTATAGACCAAAATAAACACATATTTAAAAAAAAACCTATTGCTAATCCTAAAAACTATAAAACCTAACTAACTCCTATGAGACTCCAGTCGGATTCCTAAGACTGACTGATTTAAGGAAAGTATAAGAATATAACAGGATTTGCCTGACTCCTCACATATTAAACGCAAAATAAGATTTAATCATCCAAAAATAATATTAAATAGGGGCACTTTGTAGAGTATTGTGTAATATTGCAGGGTGCAGCGAGCCTGCAGCCTGCTGTGCTGTCCATTCTGCACTGCATGCTGCACTACGTGGAATTGAACGCGCCCGCCGCACAACCAGTCAACGCTGACCTCCTGCGTGCAGTATCCAAGTTCATCGGTGTATGTATACATCGCATAATGACGCTCTTTCTAAATTCAATAGAAATTAACACTCATTAAACGTTAATTTTCATTACAGCAAGACAATAACAATTACAAGGAGGCGATGAAGATTCTCAAGTTGGTAGTAACACGGTGTTCAACGTTGGTCGTTCCCCCGCACTGGGACAGCCACGCGTCGTCTATACTCGACACTGAACTGCACGGCAAGAAGGTGAACAATTCATCATCACTCTATATCTGGACGTAGGCCCTTCACAAATCCATAACCCTTCTTCGATGGTTTACGGATGGTATTGATTTTTATTAGTTGCTACAGACATCGTTTTCTAGATAAAAAAAAACCGTAAATATTCCTTTAGAGAATTTTGTTATTTGAGAACTATGACGTCATAGTGTGTCAATTTATTAAAAACTCATGAAATTGCTTTACAGGAGTTGCCAGGCCGTACTATGGACTTCACGTTCGACCTGTCTCAGACGCCGGTCATCGGTCGCAAGTACCTGCCGAAGAGCGGCAGTCAGCCTCCGACAGGACCTAGTTCCTTGTCCAACGCGTCCTCAACAACGCCTGATAAAGGTAACATATAACATTTACTTTGTCCGCCAAATTCAATACTTGTTACGTAAAAATACTATGTAAGTAACAAAAATAGTTTATTAGTACTGAAAGCTATCACGTTTATGTTTAGGTTCGTCAACATCGGGCTCCGCGTCAACAGTGGTGGGTCCGGAGAGCGGCGGGCGGTGCGCGGGCGCAGGTAGTAGTGCGGGGGCGGGGCCACACAGCGCTGCCTCTCCCCGCCGCTCCCTCTCACTCTCTCCCGCTGATGCCCTCGCCTCGGGATGGAAACGCCCCTGGATGTCACAAGTAAGGGACTTACCTGAATAAAAGTTGAAAATAATAACTTCCACTCTAACATATGCATTAATACTTCTATTAAAATATTGCATTAACAAACTAGAGAAGAATTTTGTATACAGTTTTGCATTCAAAATAGACTTTTGTATTTTAAAATTTATAAGTAAAATTTTGTCATTGTCTATTGGATGCGGAAGACGAAGTACCGTATTTGTGAACGACATGCGGGAAGGCATATGTCAAGCTGTGGGCATCATAAGATGATGTTGCCATTTGTCACAAAAAGTCTAATTAATCATTGTGGTCAATATTTTTTTTCTTTACTGCGCTATTTTACTGTAATAATGTTTTTTCATTCACAGAGCCGCGTGCGCGAATGTCTTGTGAACCTCTTGACCACGTGTGGTCAAAGAGTGGGCCTGCCCAAGAGCCCATCTGTAAGTAAAAAACGAGCAAAATATTTATGTTACAAAATAATTGTATTACCGTGAATTTCAATTGTCGGAACACATGTATAACAATATTATTGTTAACTCTGTTCTTTGAAAGGGAATGAAAGAGATGCCAATATTGTTGTAATACATGTTACGACAGTGGATATAACAAACTTTATGTACAAAGCATGAGTGTGCCATAGATTCGATGTGCGATAATTGACTGTTGAAAGAGAATAATATCAATGTAATTTCTATCCATCGCTGCGTATAGGATGATTTAATAACCACTTTATGTTCTAAGGTAATAAGCAACAAATGTATACTTATGTCGCATCGCTTAATGCACTACACTAAGCTATGGGTTCAAATAGATGGTAACTTAGGACCTCACCTGTCAAGTGTCTCGTTTACATAGTCATAGGATACACATTGCATTCTCACTATGTTTCAATACAACTTATTGGATTTTACGCTTACAAGCTTTTCATGATTCGTTTCTGTGTTGACACGTGTAGTAAGTGTATGGGGATGTTCCTCATTGGGCCGATTGGCCTACCGACTCTATCGACTCAATGGGAAAAAGGTTGCTATTGGGCTGATTGAATCAACATAATATTCATATTGGGCCGATTAGTCAGTAGACCGAATGACCCAACGGAGTACATTTCGTATTGGGCCTCGTGGCCTGTAATCAATCGACTTATTGAATAAAAAAAAACATCCCTCATAGACGGGAAATATCCGTGTATGTCATTGTCGCATTGTAAATATCGTCAATTTCTAATCTCACCAGGAATACTGTAAGCCGGCGGATAATTATGAACTGACTATTGCGTATTTGACATCGTGTCGAATTTATAAATCAATTTTTTTCTTCAGCCAACATTTTTTATATTCATATCTTACTGATTCCTTTAATTCCTTTTGTGTAATAATCGAGTTATAATCGCATTAGTGAGATTATAAACGTAGTAAATTCACAATGTGACGGTGACATTTATAAATGTAGGTAACCGGTGGCTTGAAGTCCCCCCACTAGGATAGATTATGTGATCGAATTTTTATTTTGGGTTCGGTTCAAATCATTTCGATTGTTTTACAGTTTTGTTGCTCATATTGCTTTTTTATTATTATTTCTACATGTTTGTTGTAAAATAGGAAACCAATTAAGCCCAAAAACTTTTTCAAAAATCAAAGGTTTTATATTCAACCAAAGTCAATAAATCTTCAAAATTTTATTTCCTTATTCCAATGTAAGTTATGTGTTAATTATTTGCAATGTTATTGCTTAATACTGTATACACACCGGTGTCTTGTACGTTACTTGTCATCAAATAATTGAGTACAAATAGACTTCAAACTTGATTTGATAAAACACGCACAACAAACAATTTTAAATTATGACTTTAAAAAAAACTATTATTTGATAATTTTCAAACGAATTATGATTTTAAAAAATTTAAAAATGTTAATATATTATGCACCAGGTGATATTCAGCCAAAGCTCGGAACTGCTGGAGCGAGAGTCGTCGATGACGTCATCGCTGGAGGAGGTCTCCGGCACGCCCGGCAACGAGCCATCAGGCGGCGCCCCGCCCACCGACCACTTCGGTGTCTTTAAGGACTTTGATTTTCTCGAATATGAAAGCGAAAGCATAGAGGTGAGGACTCAGTGAAATCTGAACAAAGTTTGGAAGTTTAACCATTAAAAAAGAAGCATGTAATACTATTTGTGATAAATCTTGTTAATATAATTTATGTTTAGGGTGAGAGTTCCGACAACTTCAACTGGGGCGTGCGGCGACGGCTGCCAAGCGAGGAGCGGCCGGCTGCGGGCTCGGGGGCGGGGACCAGCGCGATGGACCGCAGCCCCCCGCCGCAGCGCGCAAGGCATCACCACCATAGGCTGGTGAGTGAACTAATTTATGTACATTATTTTCTGTACACTGATAGTTCTTAAGTTCTCATATTTATAAAGAGATACGCTATACAGACAGAGAGAGAGAGAGAGAGAGAGAAAAAAATAGAAAAAAGACGGAAAACTGCAAATCTGTCATACCTCGTTGTTTCAGTTAGGGCATGAGGACTCGTCCGACGAGGAGGGCGTGTGGGAAGAAGGCGGAGCACGTGGGGATGCGGACGCTAGCGGCGCCGGGGGCGCGGGCGGGGCGCACGAGCTCACGCTGCGCACACGCGCACACTCCTTCTCCAGCGCCTCCAGTGGTGAGCCTGATGGTCAGTTGTACACCACTAATAAATGTTCCATTTCCGCACGCTTTTTCATTGATAATTTTTTGTAACAATGTTGCATGAAGCAATGCACTTAATGTAAAAATCATTAAAATTATTATTCTCATTGTAAACCACTTAGTAATCATTTATTCATGTTTCCGAAAACGTAACATTAATTAAAGTGCTGGTAACAGGAGAGCGCGGCGATGTGACCCCAGTGCCGAGCGGCGGGGGCGGGGCTAGCGGTGTCGTGGCCGCGAACATCGCGGGCGTGGCTACCAGCGCCGCGTTGCGCGATGCTTGGCGCTGCTCGGTGGCCGCTCTGCTGCGGCACGCTGCACACCTGCCGCCGGTCGCTCTCGTTCATCGGCTGCACACCGTACTCAAGGTATGAAGTATTTCAAACTTCAGCTGGAATGAGTAACAGACAAAATTAAGTGAAATAGAAGCTTTAGTAAAATGTTTCATATTCGAGTCGAAATTTAACTATGTTTGCATGTCGTTGCAGGAGGTGACATGCAAGACGGTGTCGGTGTGCGGGGAGAGCGCGCTGGGCGGCGCGGGTGCTGGCGAGCTGGCGGCGGTGGTGGCGCGGCTGGCGGGGGAGGAACCGCCGCTGCTTTGGGCAGGGCCTGCAGCCGCGGATTGTGCGCGCGTGCGCGATGCCGTGCGTTTTGCCGCTCTAGAGATCAATGAACATCTCGAGACTTATTTTGATCGACGTGAACACGCACTAGAGGTAATAATGATTTATAAAGAATATTATAATATAAGTAATTAGTCAATTTTCTGTGAAAAGTTGATTGTGTTATCAATTATGCAGCGCATCTAGAGACTTTTTCTGATTGCAAGTGGAATGACGAACGCTTGTCTGTAATTTTATCTAAGATAACAAACGCTTCAGTACAACTTGAATATGCGTGGTGTGTGGCAGATGCTGGAGCTGTCCCGCAGCGGCGAGGAGACAGCACGCAGTTTGTACAAGCTCATCTTCCAGCTGCTGCTGCTTCTCGAGACCAACAATAAGATGGTTGTAGCCGTTTACCACGCGGCACTCGATAATAGGGTAAGGTTACATGTTATGTTTAGATTGACAATCTAGATATGTAAAATACTGCCACCAGACTATCGGGGGGATTACATAATCGAATCAATTCTTATATTGTTGGAAAATAGCAAAGTGCAGTGTCGATTGTTTTTTATTCCTATTAATATTTTTTGTATTTATTATTTTAGCATTATCATGTAATTTATTTTTACACAGGGTGTTGAGATGAGCGCGGCAGTGTGTGCGGTGCGCAACGCTCTCGCTGCCAGCGCGGCGGACTCGTGGGGTGAGACGGGTGAGGCGTGCGAGGGGGTGGAGCGGGGTGAGGGCGGCGACGTCTCCGCCTCCCCCTCGCCCGCCCCCGCCCACCACGACGACGCCAAGCTCACACAACTCATGCAGCGACAGAGGTTACTACACAATATATATCTAAACTTTAATTCTTAACATATATATAATTGGGAATGGACCATGAATATATTGTTACTAAGAATTGCTTATTTTTTTTTCATATTTAATAGCGTATATAGCGTATATAGATCCATCGGTAATTATCGCAAGTTCAAAGAAATAATTGAGCAGTATAATAGTGAGATTTACGACAGGTGGGCGGCCGCGCTGGCTCTGGTGCGCGAACGTAACGCCGAGCGCATCTTGGAGCGCGGGGAGCTCCCGGAGGATGATGTCACCAGCTTGCTGCACGTCTACTGTAAGGGCCTCGCACAAGCGCATCCAGGTGAACAATTCTACTGATTATAATACATACTGCATTTGAATACAATTATGAGAAATGCAGTAGAAAATATGTTGTGGTCTTATAGTGAAAAGATGCTGGAGTCTTTACGGTTGTGGATAGAAATTGGCAACTATGTCTAATCTTGTTTTACCTATATTAGTCCCAAATTGTATCAAGTCGCTGGTTAATTTAAAGCTTAAAATGTATTAATTTGATACAATGTTTCAGAAATGGTGGCTATCACTCGTCCAGTGAACGAGCTGTCGCAGAACTTGTCGTTCATGATGGAGAGTCTGTACAAGGTGTCGGTGGCTCTGCAGCGTCAGGACTACTGATGCCAACGCCAGCGAGCGCCCCGCGCCCCGCGTGCCTCAGCTCATCGCACGCCGTACTTGAAGCCACCTCCATAAACCATGCCCATATACAAAATGGCTATAGACAACAACAATGTATATGTCAAACTTATCTGACATTTGTCTAACCATAAAGTGTCTACTAGATCTGATAGTAGTGCGTTATAAATGGGGAGAAAAACTGAAAGCCCTACGTAGGTGGCGCTAGCGCCAAGAGTGGGCTGCCACCTGTCAACTTTTTAAATGGCATTCTAGCGATTTTTAAAGGAAGGAATACCTTCCTCATTTAATCATTAATAATCTACAAACTGTCTTTAATTTTTTTTTCAGTAAAATAAGAGTGAAGTCTTTACTATGACAACAGTCCACAGAGTACTTTGTTTATAAAATAAAGTTTTTTTTTTTACATATCTGTGGTATATTTAGTGAGCGAAAGCCAGTTTTTCTCCCCATAATCATGTCCTAACCTCACGTCAATGATCTCGTTTCACCTTTTATCTTGGTTTATCCATATTTTGATATCTTTAACTTTCATTTCCTTTTAATATCCTAACTGATCTCGATAACTGATACATAATAATTAATAAACAATTATTGGATGATTAAGGAAAGCCCGTAATATTTTGTGAAACGGCAATAACAAAAGTTACTATTACCAAATATTTGTAAGCGCCAAATTGTGCGAAACTATTCACAACTCTATTACTATGGATTTTGACTGCAATGACACTCTTTTATCTCTGTTTTGTCAAAGAGAAAGACAGGGATGTCAATATATCAATGCGGTCAGAAAAATTCTGTATGTACTATACTATAATTAATGTTCTTAAATCACAATGTTAGTGATCACATTTTAAAAATAATCCTAATGAATAAAGGAATTTTACTTCTGTTATTTCGATCAATTAAATATTCTTATAATTGAATTATTAAAATATTTCTGTAATTAAATACGAAATTGTAAAATAAAATTAAAACATTAATTTTGGTCAAAAATTAATAACCATAATAAAAATTATTTAATAACGAAATTAAAAATTATAAATATATTTGTATAATAACAAATTGTGTATATTTAATGAAATTGAAATGAAATCATGTTTGAAATTTTATTTATACAACAATTAAGGAACTTCAAATTAAATAATAAAATTAATTTATGATTTAAATAATTTTTTTTATAATAAAATTTAATAATTTAATTTATTCTTATATCTGAAATATACGTAGTTACTAATTAATTCTTAATTTAATCCAAAGTTGCTTCTAAATCAATGTTAATTTGTAATCTAATAAAATTTTAAAATAAATCCCATAATAATTGTTGACAGTAATTGTGTCATTCATATGAAAATGTGTAGTTAAGTGTCACAATGATGCTAAAATAGTTTTATCGCTTATAAATTAATTTAATTACTCAAATGTGTACGATTTATGTGGTCTTTTTTTGAGTTTGTTACCAAAGCGGTTTAGCAAATTTGTGTACACAATAAAACGTTCCTTACTGTGGGATAAGTCAAATTACCATCCCTTGTTTAATCTAAAAAAAACTATGGATCAATAGATTTTTGTAGGAATGTTTTGGTTGGGGACGCTTGGTTACATCAACTATCATGCAGCGTTTGAGCGTTTTATTTATACGAATGATGTTCTCTAAATGTTCTCACGTTTACGTATATGTGCATGTCTACGATTAATGTGAATTTAAATGTTTTTTAGTCTTATATTAAAGTTAATCCCCGCCGCAGTGCGTTCGCTTACCGCCTCAATGTAATGTAATTTGAACAATCCTCATTTTTATACACACATATACTCAAGCTATTATTTGTGATATTATTTCCTTTTCTCTTGTAACTGTTAATGACAATATTTATTTTGTTAGACTAATATTACAATAATTCGCAGCGCAATCAGTTCGCACCACGGCGATTTTGAAATAAAATATAGATTATATTTAAATGTACTAATAATATCTGTAACCAATTGTAAATGTATTTCATTTTAATGAATAATAAAGCATCAATTCTCAATTTATGTTGTTTTTAATTATTATGGTATACCCCAGATATTAACATGCAAAACATACAGAAAGACGAGCAGAGGAGACATACAAAACAAATTATAACTTAGTATTTTCAGGGGAATCAATCTTTCTTGTTTATTCTTATTATTTAAATGCGATGTATGGAAGGGCCAGAACTGGGCCGTCCCTCACGGTTTTTACCGTCCTGTGGGCCTAACAAGAATATTTGTGACAATCGCCTTTGTACCGTCATCGACAAAATTTGTGCAGCGCTCCCTATCCTCCTTAAAGTACACCAAAATTCGCATGCTAATTTGATTTGTTAATTGACGATAACGATACGAAGGCGCTTGTCGCAAATATTCGTGCTAGGCCACAGATCGATGAAATACTCAAGAAGTATTAAGAGCACTCGAAACCGACGTGAATGTATGCGGAGGTGTATGATTGTGCAAGAAGTGATTACTGCCTACCTATTTGGGTTACAGGCATCATTATGTTATTATTGTTGTTATAAACGCTACTTTTGAAGGTTAGTGAAGCTTAATAGGTGCAAAAATGTTCCTACTTTCAGTATTTCTCCCAAAGTATTTGGTTAAACAAGTGAATGAGAAATTTCGACAGGCAATTAATATAGTAATAAAAACTAAACTGAATTTATATAACATCCCTAATTTAGATAATAAAAGTATTATAAAAAATTGTTGTTGTAGGAGATTTAAATGTAATTGCGGTGTAAGAAGTTTTTACTTTACACTGGGATAATAGTATTTGTAAGCTGGTAACATTGCATCCAATTTCCTGTATATCAACGTATGTCAAAAGTGGGAAAATATAAATGGATAGGCGATTGCTTGGAAATGACAAATTTTGCTTTGTTACGATTTATGTACACCTGTTTAAATTACGTGACAGTTAATTCTATCTATATTATTAGTTAGAATTCACACCACCGCTACAAACCGCTTTCATCAGCGCCAAAATGCCGCAAATCAAATAGGCACATAATAATACGTCTTATAACCAGGTCAGTTATAGTTGTCAGTAGTGGAGAATGAACGGGACGGAAACTGCCGCGACACAACAAACATCAATCAGCCAATCTTGGCAAATCGGTTTGGATTTCGCGAGTTTTGGGCTTTTATGGCCGGCGGGTATAGTTCTGTCATCTTTATTTATCCGACTTTACAAAGGATAATTTTGAACTAACATAAAATATTTTGTGTACAAGTGCAAATCCAGCCATCGTTTACAACGAATAATAACAGCAATAATAATGGAAACACGGTACTATGAAGGTTGTGGACGGGAAGGACCCATAAGATGTATATTTCTTGGAGAATTTCATGCTGTCGCGGGACCTAAAATAGCGTGCCAGGTCAGTAATTAGTTGAGTCCTTATTATTTATCAATACTTATTAATTAGGAGTGTATCAAGTTTATTTTTGTTCATATTAATATAATATAACTGTCCCAATCCTATTTAATGTGTTATTAGTTATTTCGTAGTTATTCTTCATCACATGTTTTTACGAAAATTTTAAGAATGTTTACTAATTTCAATGCAAAAATATAAGAAGCGACCAACTTCACTTTGTTATATCGATAGATTGCAAATTTTCATATACGTATCAATATGGCGCAATGTTTTTTTTATACTTTTTCAATTGTAGCATGGTCATTGTACATTTTTTCTTTTATGTAACACGTAAACATTTTACACAGGTTTAATTATATGCCTAGTCATCGTTAGCTTAAAATAATGTTAGGTACATACCATTTTTTAGGTTACTATTACTGTAGTAGTGATAAAACATGGTAAGTTTAATAAAATATAATTTTTGTCAACAGTTCCCTGAAGATTTCATTTCAAAGGATTTGTTTGATTCATTAAGCACATACATAATTCCCAAACCTATTTTGCAAAAGAAAAACATAACTTTGTAAGTATAATATACATATTTTGTGAGTATACTTAACATCTTTGTAAGGACAGTAGAAACAGCTCAAATTATAACAACCATTTTAAACAGGTTTCCTTAACAGTTGCTTGTAGACAATGTAGTTTAAGAAATAAAATTTTGTACTTACTAGAATGTAAATGAGTGTTGTGAATGTAATAATGTGTTATTTTAAGTAATTGCTATTTTTTTTAACATCATTTGCAGCAATGCTCCAGCACACAAGATATTGGGCTACCCAATATATCTGAAGAGTCCTAGGTACCCACGAAATGTGTATGTTTTCAATTTGTGCTTTGTCTGCGATAACTGGTCAAGGACTGTTCAGTATGAGCCAGTAGTGAAGAAACTTGGAGAACATCTGGTATGTACTCATGATAGTTTCACACGAAGGCAGAGAATGGGAATAAAACATTTATTGAGATTATGTGAAACCCATTAACATTTTCTTGCTAGTTGAGTCTTACCAATCTGACTTAAATTAATTTCTTTCGTTTTTTTTATATATGTCAAATTTCTTTGAAAGTTTTATACAATTACTATTAAGTTATTAATAAAAGCAAAGTAATTAATAAAATATACTGACAGATAACATTGGAAGAAGAGAGTGCATTTGTGTCTGGAGGCTCATCCCGTCTGCCCACCTTCCTTGCGCACCTTCTGTACGACTTGAACACTTACCGCAAGACAACTGTCACAGGTCAGTTTACCACTGGTTTCATTTACTTCTTTGGTGCAATATTTGTCTGTATTGCTACAATATATGTATTTTAAATACATTGGTACTCAAATAAGTGGCAACTTGATAATTGGGAACCCTTATAGGCAAGAGTTGTTGTCCACTCCTAATGGATGGCTCCCATAATTGGGACTCGTCAACTTGGGTCAAAGAGAAACCTCTAGAAGTGAGTTATATGTTGTGGCCTACCTTGGAATTTGTCTGTAACATGTAAATACAAATTAGAAAAAGTAAAGATTTTGAGTTTGGGAGTCGATTATTCATCTTCTTTTTCTTACCTATTGCATATTATATTGCTTTAAACCAATGTTGAAAGTGTTCAATATAAATCATACATGTTTCTTTGATATAAATCTTAACTTTGTATTTACCATCATAAAGTATATGTATTTCAACAGAGGGGGACACAATTATACATGTAAAGGTGACAGAGATACGCGATGACCCAAGCACAGTTAATGACCATGATGTGCCAGTGTTGGTGGCCTCCATTGGCCTGCCAAGACCTGGCACCTCCAGCAACCCCGGAGAGGAACCAGACTCCACCTCACGTGAAGATCTCAGGGATGAGCTGGAAGACCAACTGCCTATGGAAATATATACAAATTCTAATTGGGATCTTACCACCAAACAGGTAACAAGATGGACTTAAGATAAAATTAATTTCTTTGATCTGTTAATATTCCCTAAACTTGTTTTCTACAGAATCAATGTATTGATTATTTTGATATGAATGTAGTACAGTAAGTGACATGTTTCAGCTTCTGCCGTACATCAATGGGTACTACCATGTGGCTAAGATTGCCGCTAAAGTGAATGTGGAGAAAACTCTTGTCAAAGCTTGCATTCAGAACTTACTCTACTATGGAGTGGTAAATATACATTTATCAACATAACAAAATATACATAATGGCTCAATTTATTTACTGAAACAATTTTATTTTCTTTATACTGTTATTTTCTGATTTCTAATGCTTATACAAAAGCAGCGACAACCAGTTTGTTCCAAACATTTAATTAAGAGAATTTCATTAACATATATGATGATATATTTTTGTTTGCAGGTGAAACTTATACCTTTGTTGAAATTCAGCAACATGTACCGGGCGACCGCTAAAATAAATCGCATCAAAACAGACCTTGAGTTGCAGAAGGCTTGTCTTTCTTTTATTCAAGTCAAAGGCAGGAGGAAGGTGATTACTAAATAAATATGATTTTCACAATAATATTTAGAGATTGAAACTGTTTCATAACATAGGCCAATCTATCAAGTAGGTTAGAAAATGTAGGCTACAGGATAGATGTATTTAGTGCTTTAAAATTGGTGATCTAATTTAAGAGTTTTGTTGGTGACATGATGACCTAATGTGACCTTACAGCCGCGCATTGAAGAGGTGCTGGTGGTGCTGAGCCTGCTGCAGCAGGGTACCTCGCTGCGCGCTGTCAACGAGCGCTTCCACACCATCTGCCGCTTCGCGCGCTTCGACGTGCGCAACCTCATCGTCTTCTCGCAGATGCACGGCCTCATACGCTGTCTCAAGAGGTAACTACCATTACCTTCACGAGTGACACGCGTCAAATACAATTATTACCTCGTTTTTTAAAACTGGTAGACTTCAGCAACATCTGTCTGGATAGGTCGGCTCCCTCGTTGGAGTATCTGATAACACAGAACGCAGACATTAAATGGAAGCAATTCCACATACTTACGAGTGTGTATGACCCAGCCTTATTTTAGTCCTCTCTTTCTCTTCCTATTATAAGGACCGGATAGGATAGAAAGGAGAAGTGGATTGACAGAGAAGGGGACTCACAGTAAGGGAAAATGTTCTCTTCCTGTGAGTACCCTATGTAATTTAAAGGTAGACAATGCATCTGCAATTGCACATGTCTTTGGGAAGCGTTCTCTTCACTATATCGGCGTATTTATGTGGCCACTTGCTCGTTTACCAACTTGTAATATATAAAAAAGCCAGGGATACAGTACTACAAATACATAAGTTTACATTGTTTCAGATATCCGACATACACCCGCGGGCGGTCGCGGTCGACGTCGTTTGGTCCCGAAGTGAAAGCTTTGCAGAAGCTGTTCACTGGGGAGCGGTGCACAGACGAGATCTGCTGCCTCACCTCCATCGATATCCCCACTCTGGAGACAGTCATCGAGGAGGACCCAAACGTCGCCGTCATACTGTGCTAAACGTATTTTGAAACATAATTTGCAATATTTAGCAATATTATCATCACAAAAAGCAATAATGAAGCTACTTATGTATTGTATTCTTTGATAGTTCTATGAGGCTGTATGTTATCGTGATAATTGTAGTAAGATATATATTTAGGATCGCTAAAGCTTATCATTTATTCTATTTTTAGAGTACTGTACGTTATCTATTTATATATTTAAATTAATATAGGCTTTAGATTTAGAAATCAGTGGAATACTTTACACGTGAGTTTGGTTTTATTGATTATAAAAATTTTTACAAAATAATTCTGTCATATTTATATAGAATATAAGGTGAGGAATAGAAAAACAAAAATAGCATCGCATTCAATTGAAAAAACCCGACATAAGAAAAAAACATCTAAGTCGTTAATATGAAGAGCATTTTGTTTCACAATGTTTGCATCACATTTTTAAAATTAATTATTTATTTTTTTCGCTTATTATTAAACTTTATTGGCCAACTATTAGATTAGTTAATAAGTGAAATAGTTATAAGTAATATTATAATATAATGAGGTATAATGTAAAACTTGGTATATGTATATCAATTTTAATATCCCACCGTTTGAATTAACTAATGTTGATATAATAATGATTTTTGTGGCATTCACGTGCTTTATAGTATTAATTATTAATATAATAATGCACTGTCATTTATACTATGACCCATCATAAGTGCTTATAATGGATAACAGATTAGGGGGTAAAATATTATTAGACTAATTTAGTTTACCCAATATATCGTAAAAGTATAAATTTGTGAATCGGGTAAATTAATCACAAAACATCATCGTCTGATTCACTCTTTTCCATGAATTATTTGTAACAAATTACTTATATATTTATATTCTAATTGCTTTCATATATATTTTCATCTTAGTTCTTGTCTTCCAGTAGCTTTTCCATTATATAAATTTAATCTAATATATTTTTACAGTTAACATACGAAATTTTAACTAAGGTTATTCCACAAGCCTTCCTAATACTTAAAATTACTATGAAAATAGCTACTTAATTTTAAAAGGCTATAACATCACTTGTATAATTTAAATGAAGACTGACTATTTAAGGTAAAAATTAAAATTTATTAGTTTTATTGCTACATATTTTAGCCTATTCATTATGTATGCATTATATATAGATACAGACTATATATTATCAAAAGATACCTAACTAATAGACCTAGACCTTATCTGGGTTACTAAAGAGTGGCGAAATAAAGGTCCTGGAGACCCATTAAACGTCAATAGGTTAGTTAAAAATTAAGATTTAAAAACTAGATAATAGCAGATTCTCAGACCTACTGAATATGCATATAAAGTTTCTTAAAAATTGGTCAAACCGTTTCGAAGTAGTATGGTAACTACGAGTATCATTGTGACACGAAAATTAGATGTATGTAGGATTTAAGTATTTTTTTTCAAATAACTATTTATATAATGATTATATGCTTTATCCCAATCGTTCCTTTCACAATTTGAATGTAAATATATATTTAGTGGTTGTGGGCAATACTAGTTAGGTTATTATATAATAATTATGCATTGTATGAAAAAAGAAATAGTTATAACAATGGCTCTTTGCTGCTGACATTTATACAAAATATTGTCATCTCACACAATACAATGTATTTTTGTATGAATGTTTGAAGAGTGTAAATGTGTGGACAATGATAAAAATTAATAATCGAAGTGATAATTAACTTAATAGTATTGTTATTACTCGTTAGTGTAGTCCTGATAAAGGATATTTTAATATAATATAATTGTAAAGATATAAACAATCTAAGTCACAATATTAAAGTATTATTTAAAAACATTCTGTCCATGAGTGATACTCGTTTGATTTATGTTATATATTATGTTTAGTTGCTTAAACTCGAATTTATTTAATGTATTGAATTAACGTTCCATCGATAAATTGATCTTTGCAAAAAAGGAACAAACGTTTGAATATAACTTTATAAGAATATTATTTGTTCAACATTTTCAAAATGTATAATAAATCTTAATATAGTAAAATTTCAAAATCTGATTGACTTAAATAAGGTATATCTTCCCTTATAATCTTTGTCTTCTCATTTTTGTCTAAATATGAATATTTTTATCAATTTCTCATAAAGCTATGTTATTCATATTAAATTAAATTTATGTAAATATTTGCTGCAAAATTAATTTACTATCACACTAGTAGACTATTGATGCTTTCTAAACATTTAATATTTATTTTTAAAAACACTATGTCTTATTTAAATATCTGTTGAAATCTGATATTTTTTAACTTTCACATCACAAAGTTAAGTTATTTATTTTGTTTGTATCTGTTTTACTTATTATTTTGTATCACAATTCATCATCAGCTCACTATACGTCCCCACCAAGGGGCTCGGAGCCTACCCTAAGTTAAGGGTGATTAGGCCATAGTCCACCACGCTGGCCAAGTGCGGGTTGGTTGACTTCACACATATCTTTGAATTTCTTCTCAGATATGTGCAGGTTGCATCACGATGTTTTCCTTCACCGTAAGAACGTCGGATAAATGTACATATGTAAATCGGAAATCGAAAAACACATTGGTACATGGCGGGATTCGAATCCAGGACCTGCAGATTGCAAGTCAAGTGCTTGACCACTGAGCCACCGACGCTCCACTGTATCACAAACATACATTATAAGAATACTGTTTATGCATCTCTTGAAAACAATTTAATTGTATATTTTGTACATGTACTCAAAATAATATATAAATTGTGTATTATTGGGTAGTATGAAGTTTATGTATTTATCAATTATAATAATAAATATAAACTGTCCTGTAAATAATTTTATACTCTATTAGAATTATTTAGAATTGGATTTTTTTTAATACGATACATTAAAGAAGTATTAATTGTGCCTCATTATGTATAATAAAATATGTAAGTTGATGCTATTCTATTTAGTTCTCATAGTAATTTAAATGTAAACATGAATAAAGTACTAGAGCCAAACCTTGTTTTACTGTAGACTTAGAATTTCTGCTGTAACAGCTGTACACAACATATTCCCTCCATTTCTCTAAAAAAGATGAGATAAAATACTTTTTGTACAACAGTGGAGACACACTGTTCAAGAAAATATGTTCAAATTATAGCGGCCTGTTTCCCCTAATTTATTAGGCAATGCCAAAATCAAAAATATATACAAAATAATCTATAAATTGGAAGGTAATACAAATTTCCTGTTATCCCAATATTATGCTATCCTTTTTTATTTAACCAGGGCAAGATGGATATATCCCTTTTCTGTATACCTATTCCTTCAATCTATTTAAGGTACAAAGCGCATCGCCTACGCATTACGGTATCTAGTTTCAGATGTCTGAAGGTCCTACTCTTTAACATTAGACGACGTGCTCGTTTGTTTGTAACAAAGTTTTATGAATAAAGTAAAAAGACAAAAACATTGAAGACAATTTATTCCTTCATTCATTTATAAATATGTAAATGTATATTTGTCCTCTATCCCAAGTTTGTCCTTGTGGCGTCGGTTTTTTGCGCATCGCAATATTACTAAGTACGTCCAATACTCGGCTCGAGGCAACGACGTAGATGAGACTGGACTAAGCACTGATAAAAAGTGATGTATATCTTAGTGAAGCACAGTTGTGTTTCACTATTTAAATGAGAGATAAAAATCTAAAAAAAAAAAGATAAAAATCGACATAATTAGGTCGGTGCATTACAATGAAAATTACTGATAATATTTTCAAACATAATTTAATCGATGTTTTTCAGCAGTTTAACTCACTATGAAGCTAAAACTGAAAGACGTCAACTGTGATCTGTAAAATTTAACCAACTATAATATTATAAGTATGATATATTAAATTTTTTACACATTTTTCGCAATTTTTTAAAATTATTGCCATAAAATTTCAAATACTGCATAACAAATTGACACATGATAATTGAAAAACACAGTTAGCTCGATACTTGTTGATATTTAAAACGGTTTTGGTTCCCTTTATTATCAATCATATAGGTAAAAAATGATTTTTTGGTACCTTTTATATGGTAACCCTAACAGAAAAAACGCAAACTCACTGTAGGTACGCTTGCTGAATCTTGTTCGTATATTATCCATGGGTCCGGGCAAGTATTGATGTTGATGTATTGATTTTCCCCGGCGCCAGCTCCCCACCCTACTTATTTATTTTCTCATTGTGCTTGCAGCGTTTCGGTGGCAAGTGGCGTAGATTGACGATTTGAAAAGGATTTAAGTCAAATAATATCGAATAATACCATCATGCGTTTAGTGTTATCCGAGGTAATTATTACATTATTTTGATATATAATTTAGTTCATATTTAAGAAAATTTAGTGCGTACTTCTGGAACATAAAATGGGTGCCATTGCTATACGGAATAAAATTATTGAGACAATATTTTGGATTTTGTGTTTATGCGTGTTTGTGATGTTTTAAAAATGCTGTGCGGCGGTCGATTACATTTGCTTTTTATTAAAAAAGATATTTAATTAACATTTTTTTCTACCCGCATTTCGCCGGGTAATGTAGCCATGATAATGTCGGTACGTCGAAAAAACTTAATACATTACATTATTTGTTCAGCGGCGAGTTTTTCAATTTAGCGTTTAACTTTTATAAATAGTCGTACATTTTGAGTTGAAGTAGCTAAGAAAGTATGGGAATTAAATGATTTAGATTTGGTTCCATATGTTAACTTACACCTTACTTTCTGATGTCTTTGTCTATATTATTTATGCAGTGTATGAAATAGGCAATAAAATAAAAAAAAAAATGAGTGTTTTCTATATTTTTATATTTACACTTATATGAGTGTGATTGCTGCTGCTGTGTATTTTATTCAAGACTCAAAGAAAGAAACAAGTTCCTTTATTTAATTTTTTATTCTTTTAGTACAAAACAAAGTTAAAACAATGTAAGCAAGTAACATTTCCTTGAGTTTTATTTTTGTGGCATATGTTGTTAAAATAACTGGTGTGAACAAGTTTTTGTGATCTTTAGTAATACAAGATTGATAATTTCATGTTTTTAATAAATATTGTGCAATGTTGCACGGCTGGCTTATACCAAATTTGTTTTGTATAAAGTCTTAAAGCAATAGTAAATAAAAAAAGCAAAGGTTCAGTAAATCCTTATTGTAATTAAAATTTCTTTAAGGACAACAATTATGTATATATATTTTAATTATTGTAATATATACTTGATTATGACATATATATAGCAGCTTTTAAATTTCTTACAAGTCTTTAAGCACTTTGGCTAGGGGCAAGCTGTAGAGATTGCTTTGCTACATTACTGATCAATTGTGAACTAAGCTAGTTTTTAAACAGACTAAAGTACCTCACAACTTGCACAATCAAGATGGAAGCAACAAACAGATTTCAATTTATTGAGTGAAATAAGAATTTCATTTAATAATTTGATAATGACTTTAACAATATGTCTATATGTCTGTTTCACTTTAGATCAGTGAAAGCTTTGGCTAACATAAGTTGAATATTTTGACTTTAAGTTTTCTAATTAGCCAATTTTTCAGACCTAGCGAGCAGTAACAATCATGGCTTGCTCAAAGCTACAAATGTCTGAGCTATCTAGCTTGGACCCGGAAAACTATGAGAAATTTTTTCGGACAATACAATGGATTCCAAATAGGTAAGGTTTTATGCATCACTAGTAGTGTTCAAATGCTTTTTTTTATAATTGAGCTAATAATATTCAAGCTGTATTAAGCATTTGTTGAGAAATATATGTTTATTTCAGAAAATTGGATAAAAAATCCCAGAAGAAGATCGGGAAAAAGGAAAGATTGAGGAGAATCAAAGCGGCTGGTTCGGTGGGCGTTTGCATCGCGCCCGTCCTGCTGCGGAATGCTTCACATTTCGCAGTGTTCGCCACAGTCCGCAAGTCTATACTAACTCGTTCTGCACAACTGCGGTTGATTGATTCAGAAACACCAGATAACAGCGACAATGAAGAGCCATCCTGCAGCCATCACCAATCTCTGGCTACTGTACCAAGGGTACTGTAACTTTAGACAAATCTCACTCATTTATTATGTCATTGTCATTAATTTTTTTTAAACATAACATTTAATATTTAAGCAACTACATAGTTTTAATTTTTTTTGGTAAATGATCAGTTACTACTTTTATCAGAAGTGTTAATCAGTGATCCTGTTACTTTACGGGTGTCCCCTCCACTACCTTTCATGCACAATTATTTATAATGTTTAAGGATTGATATGTGGCAGAATATATGTTCTCTTTAGCTGGTTTTCATATTTTTTTTTATATCATACGGTGGCAAACGAAGTTACCGTTGCCCATAGACATACGCAATTGCATATGCGTTGCCTACCTTTAATTGACAGAGGAGGGGATGCACAGAAAGAAAATATTTTCCCTTCCCATGCATCCTGTCATCCAGAAAGTCCACTTATATTTTTTGGTTGTAAGTTGTGCTGCCGCCTGTTCGTAAGGATGTCATTTGGACCTCGTGATTTGTTTTGATTACACTTATGTACTCGTCCTTGATAGGTATAATGTTCAGGTTTGTTATATATTTCGCTGTTTTTATGTATAATATGGCGTGCTGCTTTTTGTGCGTAAGATGATAGTACTGCATTCCCTGCAGCATATTTATGTTGGAGTTACTGGGTCTTCCCAAGAGCTGCAGACCATATAATCATATAGGTCGTAGAATCATCGTGTAGTTTGTTACCAGTGAACAATATGTTGTTTCTATGACGTTTCTGCCCAAGATCCAGTAAAGGTTTGTATACCGCATTTTGAGTTCGTCTTTTTTGATGTTATGTGTTGGTTCCATGTTAATGATCTGTCTGTAGGTCCAGGTATTTGATGCAGTTGGTATGTGGTAGAGTCGTGTCTTTTAGATTATTGTGCAGTTCCTTCGACGCAGTATCTGGATTTTTATTAATGGCGAGTTTGATATTTATCCAATGTTCTTACGGTGAAAGAAGACATCGTAATGCAACTTACACATATCTGCGAAGATATTCAAAGATATATGTGAAGTCAACCAACCTGCATTGGCCAGAGTGCTTCACTATGGCCTACCCCTAACTTGGGTAGGCTCCGAGCCCATCTGTGGGGACGTATAGTGAATTGATGATGATGATGAGTATAATGTTTTCGTCGGTTAACGTAGCTGCAGTAATATTTGGCACTTGTGGCTCGTACGCTGTATACAGCGTGTACAGAACTGGCTCAATACCGACCCCTGGGGGATTCCTGTTTTTATTGGATAAAACTGTGACGTGATCTCCGATTACTTAACCTTGAACAGTCTTTCACATAGGTAGCTATCGAATAATATGCAGTGGCCGTGCGGAAGGGGATTTTTTATATTACAAAGAAGACCTTGATGCCAAACTTTATCAAATGCCTGTTGTACAACCAGGAACACTGAAGAGCAGTACTCTTTTTCCTCTAGCGCCTTTCGTATCCTATCAACAATTCGATGGACTTATTATACTTAATTGTCGAATGATGGTGTTTAAATCCTAATTGATGGTCTGGTATTATTTTGTTGTATTGAAAAATAATAGTCTTAGTAGCATTTTTTCGAAAACCTTTAGTACCGTCAGCAAGCTCATAGCCTTGTAAGAACTCTGTAGACAGTATCAGCTGGTTTACTTATGATTATGGTTGGCTTATGATTCAGTGTGGCCAGGAATACTATTGCTTTCCTTGGAAGTTGTATTAACACTACCTTTGTAATAGGGTCAAAGCCAGGCTTTTTTTGCTTTTAAGCTTCTTTATGGTCCTCCAGATCTCACGCACAATAACGTGCAGGCGTAATAGTGACATTTGAAGATATTGATGTAGGAGGCTTTTAACGTTTTTTTCAGTTTCAGCCTTGCACCTGTCGTTTGGGGTGAATACATTTGCAATGTGCTGGGCAAATGTTTCCATCTTTTTTTTGTTCATCGGATCCATCAATTAGTACGCTTCATGGGATCGGGCTCCGTTTAGGTAATTGCGGTCTTATGTAGCTTTTTGTAAATTTTCCCAATTAATAATTAGTTGATGCAGTTGCTGCGAGAGATTCTAGTTGGTTGTTAAGAAGGTCGATTCGCAAAATATTTAATTTTTCTTTCAGAAGTGGGACTGATTTTTTGGCAAATGCCCTATCTGTCTATAGTCTGCTGTTGCTAAATTCTTCCTAGTCTTCTATTTTCGTCAATTGCCAATTGTATTTCTAAAGGATATTTATTATTTGTTCCGTTGCGGTATAATTTAGGCGTGTTAAGTTAGCTTGCTCCTTGGATTGCTTCGTGATATATGTCGTGGCTGTTAGTATCTATGTCGTCGGGTGTTTTAAGTGGGTTTCGTAGATCTATGTAAGTCTCAATAAATTCGCGGAAGCAATTCCAGTCTATACGGTTACGTTGTGTTGCAAGTATTCCATGTTCATTTATAACAGATTGTAGTAATTCAGTTAATTTGTTCACCTTCATTCCCATACAATATTATCGGAGCTGGTTTGTTTGGTTTTTAGGGTTCCGTACCTAAAAAGGAAAAAACGAAACCCTTATAGGATCACTTTGTTGTCCGTTCGTCTGTTTGTCAAGATCCTTTTTAGTTTTAGGTTCTGTTTCTTGGACAGATATGGTGGGGCAATGGATTGATTGGGTAATGGAGCAAATTTGTAGGACGTTTTATTATTTGTGGAGATCATCTGTCAGATATTTTTCTCTTCTCTCTGTTTGTGGGTATTCTTTGCCATGAGGGAGGACAGACAGTTTCGGATTCAGAAGCAGAAACATTCATAGGCTGTGCCTCTAGATTGGGGTCAGATGTTTACTGGATTGGGTCTTGTCTACCAGGGTGGTGATGATGATGACTTGGCCTTAGAAATTTATTTGGGAGAAATGCTTGTTATATCAATTTGTTCTTCGAGTTTCCAGCGGCATTAAACTGGAATCTGATCACCCACTCCTAGGCAGTCTTCAGTATCATATTTTTCACTCTCAAGCCTTGATACCTGAGAGCATCGGGGTTAGCCGCATTGCACGACATCAAATACTCGTTTTTCGACATTTCCATAAAAAAAGTGATAGAAAATATTCATGGCACTTTCCCAACGTGTCGCGATCACTCTTTTAGAAGGGGACTTAGTCTTTATTGGCTTCTTATAGTTGAAATTGTAGTTTTTAATGAGCATAGACTGATTTTTTGTCATAATTAAATTGACTTTCTTTTGATTTGTTAGACACCTATTACTAAATTATTAGTCTTCTTTCGTTGCAGATTACCGGCATTGGACTTCGCATGGTATTCGCTCTTATTTCTGAAGCCAGGTTCGCTGATGTAAAATTCTGTCAACAATCTCTTAAAGCATTGTTAGATATTTTACAAGGACATACTCCTGAGGATATGTCTCAGGAGCCCAGTGAGGTATATGGATCCATGTATTTAATTAACGTTCCTTTTGTAATTAAAAAAAATATTTTACAACTATTATTTACCTTTTATCAAATAAAAAGACTTTTTAGTGGCAAAAAATGTACAGTCAGCGTCATATAGATCGTAACAGACAAGATATGCAAATATATAGGTACATCAAAAGTAATCAATTATATCGGTACAACAAAAGTCCTCAAAATAATAGATACATTCACCCTGCTCAAATACATCGGTACATACACAGCGTCAAATATATGAGTACATGCAAGATGCTCATAAATATCGTAGCAGCCACAGCGTCATAAGTAACGAAGCAGTCAAGGTGCGCAAAAATATCGGTACATTTGACAAAATTGAACTCTATCTCTATATACTTGTGATACAATTTGGAATAAACTACTTCTGTTACATTCATTTGACACTTTGCATCAAACCATTTTTCAAAATTTACTAAAAGTGTTCGACGCGGATGACAGATATTAGGTAGATAAATCCAACATCAAATTTAAGTTTGTCATCATATATGCTAGTTTGGTCTCGTGGCCTTACCGTTCGCCGCCGTTGGTACGTAAGGTCGGCGGTTCAAATCCCAAGCCACTATTTTTTTTTTTTTGATATTTAAACTTTTTAATTTTAATATCGAAGCACATGAATAAACTCTATCGCCGTAGTTATTAGGTACTCTTTGATATTGCCTTGGACTAATGAGTTTGACCGTTAAAGTACTTTTCTATTTCAAACAAAAATGAAGGAGATAAAGCGATGCCATTGGCATGTAATTTGTTTATTACTCATGTTTGTTAAACTTGTACCAGTAAAAATAACACTTTTACTTTTACCTTTTACTGATACTGATTATATTTAAGAAACAAAGAAAAAAAACTGAATGTCAATATCCAAACTACATCAAATTTTTGGTCGATTGCAATAAACATTCCAGTGTGCGTGGGCGCGCACACATATGTAGATAACACTTGTACGTATAGTTTCCGCGCGTACCATTCTTAAAACCCGCAAAGACAATCCACGCTCCGCCCACTCACTTCACCCGCGATGGTCTGACCTAATTGCTGTTGACTTTATTTAAATTTCTTTCTACCCGACAGCGAAAATTATAAAAAAAAATTGTCGAGCAAAATTTTACATTACCAAATTTTTACTGGTCATGAAAAAATAACCCCGTGATTGATAAAATGAAAAAAAAGTAGCCTGAGATTCGAACCGGTAAACTTACATATTACGGCAAACATACTAGAATACTGCGCCAAAATAGTATTATATATATTGTGACAAGGCAAATTTGATATTAGTTAATACGTATCTGTCATATTCGGCGTGACAAACTTTTATATTTAAGCGTTATGACAGGTGAAGAAAAATATTGGGTTGCCCAGTAAGTTCGTGCCGCTTTATAAGGAAAATTGAAACCCTGTTCTCTTAAATTTTTGGAAATGTTTTTAAATTATATTGGTATGACTCTATACCTAAAACGTCTTTTATTATTGGATAAAATTTTAAAAATTAGTTTTTATCTCAACCAATGAAATGAAATTATTCACAATATAGAAATTTTTGTGACGTTTGATAATGGCGGAAATCCGAAAATGAATCCACTTCAGCTACAGTCTATTGTAAGCTTTATATCGAAAATCAGAACGAACTTTCCGGACAACCTATAATGTTAATACAAAGTGTCAAATGAATGTAACAGAAGTAGTTTATTCCAAATTGTATCACAAGTATATAAAGATAGAGTTCAATTTTGTCAAATGTACCGATATTTTTGCGCACCTTGACTGCTTCGTTACTTATGACGCTATGGCTGCTACGATATTTATGAGCATCTTGCATGTACTCATATATTTGACGCTGTGTATGTACCGATGTTTTTGAGCACGGTGAATGTATCTATTATTTTGAGGACTTTTGTTGTACCGATATAATTGATTACTTTTGATGTACCTATATATTTGCATATCTTGTCTGTGACGATCTATATGACGCTGACTGTACACGAAATAAATCCAATTCTTCAAAAAATGCTTTCTATAAATGTACGATTACCAATTTAAACTGATATATAAACACGGCTAAACACTCACGTATATTCGTCCGGTGGCGGCACCGACTAGTTTCGAGCCCATCGGGGGCCCTTCATCAGGATGAGTGGTACTGGTATTATTTCGCGGACGCGGCCCTCAGCTCACTCAGTTTTTATATCAGTTTAGTATGATGTCTCACGAAAGTTTGAATAATTTGATTACCAATTTGTTTAGTTTATAGCTATTCAAAGAGCAATGCTGTCGAGTGTGATGGTTGAAACTTTTCTTAAAAAAAACCGTATTATATGATGATAAAGACTAGAATGTACCGACTGTTTTAGATGATTAATATATTACACCGCACCCTGATTGAAATCGTGAGCGGCATCACCCCGACCGGCATAGATGAAGTGCCGAACACCAATATTGGGCTCAGCTGCGCTTGCTTGGTTGCACTCACAGTTTCCAGGGGAGAATCAGAACTGATGCTGAATGCTATCGCTGCTATGATTATGAACACTACGGCTATGACTGAACAATATATAAAGGCAAATAAATCACAATTATTTTTATATATAAAAATTTTATCTGCAGCCAAATGATATTTGAATAGAAGGATGCTTAAGATAATAGCGATTTATTATTTTTATCTTAACAATGTTTTTTTTATTTTATTTCATGCCATTTTACAGATACCCAAAAATTTGACAATTCTACAAAGGAGTGTACAATCCGTGATACTTGGTGAATCTTCACGTAACCAATGGATCAATTTTGGCGTGCCACATCAAAGCCTCGCGTATGGTTTCCCAGTGGACCTGCCTTGCATGATGACAACAGGCCCCGGGGAACTCATAGTCCGTTCCCTGGCCTCGGACGGATGCTACCTTTACGTATACTCCTCAAAGGGATTAATTAAAATTGGAACTGGATACGGCAGCTCCTTAAAACAGCATATCTATAAATTCAAATATGATTTCTTCCAAGGTGACCGCCATGGATGGCTAGGTTATTGCAAGGTACAAATTGTTTCTTTTTATCTTTGATTTATATTATGTTTTGAGGGCGTTTTTATTTAATGTTTGTTTTGTAGGATAAACTGTATGTGAGAATTGGGCGGAAGAAACCCGAAGTGTATGAAGTGAACAAAGAAACCTTAGAAGTGATGAAGATCCTTAGACTGGACCCCGGACAATCCGACTCGCCGGAGCAGAAGTGTGCCGTGTTCACGGATGGCAATCAACTGGGACTTGTCTTACTAGCTAATTACGTAAGTGATATTCCAGACCATTCGCCATCTTCTGCCATTGATAAATTATATAACATTAATGTTTTTTAAGGCTAAAATTGTCGTGAAAATGTACGACGTGACAAACATACCCGAGCATAACGAATGCTCCCCTATCGAGCTGAAAGCGCGGGAAGAATGGAATGTACATCTGTTGCGTCGACGGACTATGGCATTGGGCCGTCCGCCGTTTGATGACGGCTTTTCACGAAGAGCAGGCGACAATGATACCCCCGTGTTGATGCAGTTAGATGATAACGATCTTGACCCACTGCATGGTATCTGTGCCGGTCAGGATTTCGGTCTGTTGACTACGAAAACGGGAAAGGTGAGAATGTCAATGCTAATATTACTCTTTATATTGATATTTCTTACTTCATAACTCCAGAATGAATGAACAATACTTATATGCTAAGATATACATGTATTTGGTTGTTTTGCAATCAGGTGTACTACACTGGTAAAGGCACAAGCCTGGGGTACAAAATGGCGTCCCCACATATCGGGCGATGGACTCTCATGAAAGAGACATTATTCAACAGGAACGAACCGAACGTGAAGAAGTGCCAAGTTACTCAGGTAAGTTTTATAATGCTGAAATGGAAAGAAGTCACTGATCTATTATAAATGAGTAAGAATAGATTGGTGAAAACACAAATAAAATAAAATATTACGAAATGTTTGTTGCAGACTGCAGTGGGACATGAGGGTGTCCATGCTATCCTGGTATTGGATAATGGCAGTGTTCTGTTCACGGGCATAGCCAGGCGCGGCGAAGACGGCGACATCGGCAAACATCGCCGCAACCCAAAACCTACGCGCCCTAAGAAGATTACTAGGGTAAAATAAATAAATTGATTTAAGTTAGAATTAAATTATCAAAATGTTTGTAAGCTCTTAATTAAAGAAAATAGCTGTTTAACAACGTTACTAAACCATTTTGTACCACTGAAAATATGTACTCTGCTAACTTGTAATCACTAATTGCTTGTAAATGAATAGATAACAGTAACGACTACTAATTGTAGTAGTACTCATAGTTGGTTAATTCGTTAGTGAGGGATTTCTGTAACTTTAAGTAACCACTATGAGTGCGGTAATAAATGTAGGGAATTAATAAATATCTACGATACAAGGTGGAGGGTCATCACATAGTGTACGCGGCGTGTAACTACGGTTCCACCGCGCTGGTGACTCGCGATGGCCTCTTGTTCATGTTCGGGAAGGACACGCAGCATTGCGACTCCACTGGCTTGGTCACAGGACTCAAACACGAGAAAGTTATACAGGTAACGTCATCATCATCCTGTCCTGTTTGAGGTTGGTAGAACAAGATTTCGTTGTGCATTCCTTAGTGTTACATACGGGTGTGCCGAATTATACAATATCTTTTATTGTTTTTATGGTCCTACAAATTGGAAGTTCATTTAAAAGATACGACAGAAAGTAATTGTTATATTATAATCTCAGGTGGCACTTGGCAAAGCGCATGCTGTTGCGTTAACAAACTTCGGTCAAGTTTACACTTTCGGCATCAACAATAAAAGCCAATGCGGCAGAGAATTCGGCTACGGTAAGGAAAGTAAGTAAAAATTGCTAATTATGTACATATATTTCAGTCTACATTAGTAAAAATTAAAGAGTGTAATAACTAGGTATCACGTTTGAAAAAAAAACTTCTGTTTTTCATAATTCGAATACCACTGAAGAGATATATGGATATACTCGTGTGCATACTTTCCCAAACAAAAGTTTGGAATACCGAGCAAGTACTTAATTCAGTACTTATTCCAGAGTACCAACCGCGACGCAAAGAGAAGGAGGAGGTTCGCGTGTGTGTTGACGGACATTCGTTCCACACTGACTACTGCCGCGTGTGCACGCTTTGCCGTCAGTGCACCGGCTTCGGCAACAAATGCTGCTGCGTCGCCATAGCCGAGCGTGTGCCCGGAGAGTAAGTCTGCTATTTATATTTAATTCCATTCGCAGATTACTTTTCGCAATTTCATGATAGGTTTAATGGTGGAGACAGCAAGAATAAATCGATTAAAATGCGATACAAAGTTTTCGCTTCATGTTTTAAAAATCTGTGTAGTAGAAACTTCTTTATATATTTAAAGGCATCGCATCTGCATTTCCTCTGGTGCTGCCATGATGTCCATGGGTGTCGTTGGATCACCTCGGTGTTCCCGCCGCTCGTGTCTCCCCTTCTCCTATAAAAATATTTGGAATGCGAAGACTCCAAAAACGTACCGAACCTTACACACTAAGTGACGTAATATAATTAATTATATTTTTTAGGTACTGCAGAAAATGCTGTTGCAGCAAAGGCGAGAGCAGCTGCACCGCTTGCGGCATTTGTCGCAAATGTGCCAGCGTGACAAAGATATCACAACCGCGCCAGTCGGATGTTGCAGACGAACACTTAGAAGGCATGCCCGCAGAACCGCCGCCTGGTAATTGTTTGCTCAATTATTACTTTACTATAAGAATGTATTTTCTCTTTCATCTCTTTAACCTTATTAAAATTATGGGAAAGGAAAAATCACTAGAATTTGACCTTCATCATGCAAACTGATCAGATTGTACACTGAATCATTATCACTTGACGTGTGTCTTGGCCGTGGTGTTACACATGCCGAGGCGGCCTATTTAGCATGTGATACATGTCACTGTTAAATGTTAATAAATAAAATATGTAACGTGTATGTGATCATAACAGAAAAAGAGGAGAGCAAATCGGTCGCCCACGAGATGTCGATCGCGGGTCCAAGCAGCGAGGTGGACAAGGGGGAGCGGGATACGAGCGTGAAAGTGAACAGCCTGCCGCCGGCGCGCATCGCCGTGCCCGGGGGACATCGCATCGTCGCCATTGCTTGCGGCTTGCACCATACCGTGCTGCTCTCTGATAACGGTAACATAAGCTAGTGTTTTTAATTCTTACTTATATTTGAAATAGAAGGTTCGGATGGATGTGTGTTAGAATATATAGCGGGAACGGCTCCATGAATCTCGTTGAAATTTGGCATAGAAATAGAACATAGTTTGGAGGGACACAAAGGCTACCAAAATTTTTTTTTGGAATTCGACGCGGACGTAGACTTAAGCGACAGCTGCAATTGATAGACGGCAATTGATAGTAAGCCTAAGTTATTTGATGCGGTGCCGCTAATATCGTATTGTGTTCTACAAAGCATTTTAAGTTCATCCGTATTACATTAGTTATAATGCCTACTTTCCAATGACTACTTGTTGTTTGTTGTTTCCACGACCAGGTGAGGTGCTGACGTTCGGATCTAACCAGATGGGTCAGCTGGGTGCGGGCGATGTGGCGCCACACCATCGCATCGTGCTCGTCCGCTTGCCGCGCGCATGCTCAGTCGCAGCGGGCAGCAACCACACCGCTATCCTCACCCGCGACGGAGAACTCTACACCTTCGGATACCACCAGGTGCCATATCAATGTCACATTCCAAATCAACGCCTAATTCCTTATCTCCTAAGCATATAAACATTTCAATCGAAAAATGTTATAAAAATGATTTATACACCAATATTTTGTGTATATTTTTTTAACAATATTTAGGCTTTCGTTTGGAACTAGAAATAGTGTGATTAGATTACTGCATGCGCTACCTTATACTATAGTTATCTCCTCATTTCGTATAGTTATCTTCAAATATCTTGGCGGCCAAAAATCACTTGTGCGCTGCGCAGTGTCCTCCCCTCGTATTGCGTTAAGCTCAAATACTAGGTGTATTGTATTTTGCGCACTGATGTGCAAGAAATAAGGATCCGCCAAGATATCTGATAACAACAATAATTTACCAGTATAATGCCTGTACCACACAATCACGAAAGTGAACAGGAACAGAAGCGAACTCATCGAGATCTAAATTATTGAATATATGTAACGTCAGTTTGTTTCATAAATGAGTTATATTTTCCCGTACCGAGTACGTTTGCTTAATTTTGGCCGGATAGTGGCAAAGTTCGTTTCGTTCCGGTTCGCTGTTTCTGCTATATGCTGCAGCCATTTTTGTTATTAATTTTAATGAAAATTCAAGATAAAAAGGAAAAATAATGAATTATAAAATCACTAGATGCAAGTAACTATCTACGTGTACTCCTGTCATAATCTTAGATTCCTTTATTGTAATTTTAAAAAGATAGCAGGCAGGATAAATGTGATACCTTCCCTTATTTTTAGTAGATTTCATGAATATTATTTTAAACTCTGTGATAGTACAAATAAGACTGCTGTGTAATGTGATATTAGGCATATGCTATATTTTTTTTAATAGTTGCATTATTTTTTTTATTTACGTTTTATGTCAAATAAATGGCCAAATATTAATGGTCATATAAGTTATTTGTTTCCCTAGTTACATCATTGATTGTTTTGTTTATATTTTCTATAATTTAAATGTGTTATGCTATTGCTATTTGAAAATATAAATACGAGGAAATTAATTAATGGAGAAAAATTTTTCGTAACCCTTTCTTGTGACAATAAACAATTATTTTCATTACTTTCTTTTTATTCTGATCAGCTTTCTAAAATGTGTAGTTAATCTGTATGTTGTTTTTGGTAAGTTAATATTCACCCACTCCAAAATCCGTAAAATATGAGAATGGAGTGAAATTCATGAGGAAAAGAAAAAAATGGATGGGTAAAATAGCTGGCATGTCGTATTTATTAGACGAAACGTAAGACAATAATAAACTGTGCAACATCCATCATTTCATTCGAAATACTGTGAAGAAAAAAAAAATGCATATCAAAATAGATAAAATATCCTACAAAAAACATAATTATTGTTTTTTCTTATATTTTGTTTTTGTTATGTTTTTTTTTAATTTAATTTGCCATTTTCATTGACAGAATAACTCAAGATAAAAGATACTCAAGATTGTGTCCACGTACTTAGAGGATTTTTTTTTTAATTTATCATTTTAAAATTGATATATTATAAATACCACTACATATTTAAGATCCTATTTGTATTCTACAATTTTTCTCTGGTAATTAAACAATCCGTGTATCCAATATATAGGATTATTTCATGCATACGTACATAATATTATTCTTTGGCATGAGGACTATAGTCGAAATGGCTTTCTCTTTAACCAAGATAAGCGTTAAAATATTTTGTAAATAATTAACGTTATAATACGTTCATATTGACTCAATGATATGAGGATTTTGATGACTTTTTACGTGGTAAAATCATAAGTTAAATGATCATAAATTTTCATTGTCATTATATCGGTCTATAAAATCTTGCCGGTGAAATTAATTAAAGGTAAGTCGCTTTAACTAAATATAAGTAATTGCATGCTGGCTTTCAAAAATGTAATCCCTTCCCAGTCTTCTAGGTCACTTACGTGAGTTTTTTTATGTAGTTTTTATATGTTTTATATTTTTAGTCCACTTAGCGTTAATAATTTTTTTGTGATATATACAAACAGAAAGGTTCACTGGGGCGCCAACAACCCGAGGAGCCAGTGCGTCAGGAGCGTGCCCCAACTTGGTATGCGACCCCAGGACGTGTTACCCGCTTTGGCCCACGCGACGCCGCTAAAGCGGTCTGGGTCTCCGCGTCTGGCGACCAGACCTTCGTACAACTCTGTCAGTCTGTCATCAAGACTGATACTATCTTTAGTTCGACTATCACTGCTAATGGAAATAACATTGGTATGTAGTTAGCTGCAAGTTCCTCGTGTTAACAAAGTTACTTATTAATAAAGCGCCTTATAATTGGGAATAGCAAACTTTTTTTTGTATTAAAATTCAATATCTAAACTTAAACCTATAACAAATAATTATTAATTTATTATTCCATTGCATTATAACAAAAACTTTCTTTTTACTATTTTTTATATACTAATAATTTTATACTTGTCCGATAGTGATCTTGCCCAACCGGCCGGAACATGCATTCAAATGCATCACAATAAACAAAATTGACAGTTCTTGCAACGCGTGGACTGGACCCGAGCAAGTTGACTTCGTGAACAGTCTCGCATGTCTAGACCCCCTGTACAATGTACTGTGGTGCTACCAGCCGCAAAATAAAGCCATTAGGTGCTATAACATCCTCGCCTTCGATGCCAACAAACTGCAGCGTTGTTACAACGATCCGGACATAACCACGGAAAATGAAAAGCAATTCCCTAATTACGGTATGATGAAGCGATTAGAAGACTTCAAAGATCTGAAGACTTTCGATCAGTGCCGTACTACAGATGAGAAACCACCGAACAATATGTCACTCGCCAACATCTCTGTGTTAAACGAAGAACTTGCCATACCTATGGTGGAAGACTGTTATGTGACAAGGATGCATGCGGCATTGCATCTCCTGGGCTGCTTGGACTCACTTGCATTTGCCCATGATAATAAGTAAGTGTTTTAAAATAATAAGATAAATAAATTAAAATTATTTTAATATAAACTTGATCGTTTTTTCCTAGGCTCAAAATGCCAGAATACAAACCCGATAATTCTGGCGGCATGACGAAATCGCTTGCGATGCTGGAAGATTTCTCAGTGGTGAACCGCTTCCCCAACCACGGCGGTGGTTGGGGGTACTCTGACAACTCCATTGAGGCTATACGCTTCATGTGTGACAGAAATATTTTACTGGGTTAGTATATTATGTATGCACTTTTATTCATTTTGTACTCAGAATTCGGTTGTTTTCTGTAAGCCCCTTTTTCCAACAGTACGACTAGTAACACAGCATCGGGCGGGTAGCCTTTGTGTGAAAAGGGAGTCTAAATCTGAAGATTTGGTTTAAAATATGAGCCGATCGATTTAATTTTTACTTTATTGGACAAAAACTTTTACCTGGTTTTTATTTGGAAGTTTGTTGTATATTATTATATTTATTGCACAGGTGGCTATGGTTTGTACGGAGGCCGTGGCGCTAACAGGGCTAAGATCAGGTTGTACGACATTGGATATGGTGGCGGCGAGCTGGAGGTGGAGGGACAGCTTCTGGCCGAGAGCGATGACACCGTGTTCCAGTGCGCGCCCAGGGAACGCTACCCCATTTTATTTGATACTCCTGTACCTGTAGCTGTAAGTAAATTGAACCTTTGAAGGATTGCGTCGGAAAAGTTTTTTCACAGTGAAGAGACTTGTGCGTCGTTACTGAAAAATATTTTGTACTTGTAGGCTAATCGATGGTACGTTGCTTGGGCTCACATCAATGGCTCGTCATCCGACTGCGGATCATCGGGACAATCGGTGGTCATCAAGGAAGACGCCACATTCTACTTCAAGACCTCTGAAATGTCCACCAATGGCACAGACGTGAACGCGGGACAAATAGGTTGTCTCCTATATATTGTTATAAATTCCGAAGAGTTAGCGCTCCGACGATCCCTAAAGAATGAACCGATAGTTATTCTATCCAAGAACATGTCTCGTAAAGTCACCGTCGGCTGCTTCAAGACCATTATGAAATTAATGGAATGGAGCTGGAGGACATTCAGAGGTTTGGTAGATGCCACAAACGGATTAGTACCCATCAATTACCAAAAATTAAGCGCGATGAAGCAACAAAAGAGATTGGTGTATGTGATAAGATCCTGCCTGAGACTTATAAGATCTTATATAAATGAAATTTACCCAAAGAACAGTAAAAATAGGAACTCACAGGGGTATATGTCGTATTTTGAGGTGATGTCTGAGATACGCAACTTCATTAAGCAAATAATGGCGGAGCAGGTTCCCGTTTGCGCCACGCTACCGATACGATCCGGTCAGAAACCTTACAGAGGTTGCTATGTTCAGTTCTCTTTGGAATTGACAAAATCTGTGCTAAGAGAGGCTCACAAGACAGTCACCTCTTGCTTCCACGCGTTCTACCCAACGCCTACGCTCAAGTGGAACCATCTGTGCTTCCTGCTTTCTTATATTAAGGTATGTATTCTATTATTTTTTGTATTACATAATTATTATGTAATAAATTTTATCTAGTATCAAAAACACGTATAAATGTTGCAAAAGGAGGGGAAAGTCCCTATGGCGAGCGTAAGGGAGCTGTCGGCGACTTGCGCGGCGCTGTGCAATTCCTGCAGCTTGATGGACGTGCTGCAACACATCGTGGGAGTGACGCAAACCTCTCTACGCGAGGACAACAAACGCCGCATTGAACGCCCTGACAACAGAGTAAGATACAAGCATTGACATTGAATAGGATTGCGGGGAAAATACAGCTTTTTGGTGTGCCTAATCAGTGGATTTGCTCTCGTTGAAACGTAGTATACCATTTCCTGGGAAGATACCGGAATAACAAAAGGTTCCTGTTTTTCTGGATTAACGTTCGACTGAATATTCGCCCAAAATTGTATATTCACCAGCAACTGATGCGTCGTTTTGAGTGACCAACGAATAACTTTGTTGTTTGTTTGCGTAGTTGGCGAAACCAGGTCCGAGTAGAGCTGGTTCATCGTCGCATTCCTCGCACTCGAAGAAACCTCCTCCCGTGCCACCTAGAGCCAACAATAGAGAACAAAAGGTATATGTTTTAAGTTTGAAACCTACTTGATGAGATTTTTCACATTTCATTTACTTCGACATCTCATGGACTTTACTTACACTTACATAATTGATGGTGTTTTGTTCTATGTAACGTAGAGCCAAGATCAGGGTGAGCCGAAGCCGGCGTACATGAACTGGCACTTGATGGACGTGATTCCGCGTCTGCTGGACATCGTGCTGATACCGTTGAAGGAGCGAATGACGACGCACGAATGCTCAAAGCCCCATGAACACGGCGAGATTGCTGCTCGCCAGCGTCTGGCCGAATACATCGGCAAATTCATAGTGCGAGTAGTCGCTGAATTAGCGCAATACGCTAATGATGCCCGGGTAAATTGTCTATGGCTTATTATAACTCTAGTATATTCACTATTTAATAGCTTTACTCTTAGCTCTTTTGTTCATAAGCTTACAGTTATATTTTCTTTAGGACGAATTGGACACGAATGCCTTGAAACATCTCACTACTCCGTCGCGTTTTGTACGCGTAAATCAAAACCGTGCCTGGAACACGGGCAACGGGAGCCCGGATTCCATAGCATTTACAGTAGACAGGTCCGGGATTATGCTGGTCGGAGCTTGTGTGTATGGCGGCGGTGGCTCATATGAATATACCCTTGAGCTGATGCAGGACGTGAGTATCTGCAGACCGAAGTTTATATTTTGACCTTTCCGACGAAAATACTTTTGTAAACTCTTAAGAAATTGTAAACTTTTCGTCGTATGGGTCGGTATATGAAATTAAAAAATATGTATTCGATATTGATTGTGGAAATGTAACAACAGCAGCTACGCAACACAACGGAGGACACGAAGTCGTCGCACTGCTGGGTCAGCGTGGAGTCAGTGCACGGCACGTTCACTGCCGCTGACTGCCAAAACGACATAGCAACAATCAAGTTCGAAAGACCGGTCACATTGAAGGTGTGAAACAACACACGTTATTAAAGTTATTATGTAATAAAGTTTCTGTTGCGGCTTAGCAACAGAGACATCAGTATTTTGACGTTGTAATACAAGTCCCCCACCTATAGAATTTCACTGTTGCAGTGGATTTTCATTTTGGAATCATCTAAAGAAAATCTTATTGTTATCTCTGTATTGTAAGTTTTATGTATGATTTGAATGAAATTAATGCAACACACAATTAAAGCTTAGCTAAGTAGTTCGTAATTCACAGTCATGGTGCCTAGCCATAAATTTATTTGCCGATGAAATATCTTTGATTGGTATAAGTTTAATTAAATTGTTCAGCACTTAAAAATCTCAAAGGAAACGACTAAGAGGAGTTGTTTACAGGCGGAGTACCAGTATGCATTGAGGCTGTGCAACCAAGGCGGGCGCACTGTGAACGGAGACTGCGGCCTGCCTTCGGTGAAGGGCCCTGATGGCACCACCTTCCTCTTTGCCTCCAGCTCTCTTAGTTTCAACGGCACTACGCTGGCGAGAGGACAAATACCTTCCCTCATCTATTACGGGTTTGTTTTAATATAAAGGAATGGATGGTTATTTTACGTAATTACATCCTAACTGTGGTGCAAGCTAAGTTATCTTTAAGTTGACAAATCCTTCACCAGCTCACTATACCCACACACGTCCCCACCGAGGGGCTCGGAGCCTAAGGGTTAAGTTAACGGTGATTAGGCCATAGTCCACCACGCTGGCCAAGTGCGGGTTGGTTGACTTCACACATATCTTTGAATTTCTTCTCAGATATGTGCAGGTTGCATCTCGATGTTTTCCTTCACCGTAAGACTAATCTTTATCTCTTTCTAAATTTCACTATTGTACCCAAATTTATTTCTGCCATGGTCTTCCAGGACACGAGCAGACCAGGATCTGACGTCATTGATCGTACTTAATAGCAATTCTTCTCTTAGATCTTCGAAGTTGCTATCAAACACGTCAGAGAGTAGCGATGCAATACTGTCAGCGCTGCGAACGCTGACAGTGCGCGTTGGAGCGCTCGTGATGGAGCGCTTTACGGAGCTGCTGTCCGAGTTGCGGTCAAAGCTGTCGCCGAAGGAGATGCGGCGCAACATCCCCGAGCTGCGAGACAGCCCCGCAGTCAACACCCTACTGCCCTATGTGCTAACACATCTAGATACCATGGACGATCCTAAGGTAACACATCAACAAACTGGAGAATATGGCAAGGCGCAATCAAAGCTTGGTCTAAGGGAGGGTAGCTACCATTAACATGGTTTTATTTGAAGTAGTTTTTTGAACATTTTGCAATGCCTTAATCATTTTTAAAAATTTGGCCAAAGTTTTCTATTAACTCACTATTTTCTTTTTCATGCAGAGTTACGTGAAGATATTGGAGCTGATTCATAAGATGCTGCCGCACGTGGCCGCACTGAATTTGCTGGTGCCTGGCGAGGAGCCAGCCTCATTGCCAGGACAGTACTACACCTGGGTGGAGAGCCTGCACCCTTACCAGCCATCATCCGTCAGCAACATAAGGTATAAACTCTTTTACACTAAGCAGACATTAGAGCATTTTTTGCTTAAATTTTCAAATAACATCATAATTTAAAAGAAATATTTTTTTCAGACGTCCAACATATTTAAATTACGTTGCTTACTTGATTTCTTAATAATGTCTGCATTTTTTTGTAGAGTACTATTCCCAAAGAGCGTGTCGTGGATAGCATTAGAGATGGACCCGCGCAGCATCACCGCGCAGCCGGAGGACACGCTAACGATCTATGCAGCGGCAGGAGCGCCTACTCAAAAGTGCACGGCCGTCAAAGAGCCACTCATATCAGAGTCGCCCTTCCGCAAGGTATACAAGGTAGAAAATCGTCCGTTTGTTCATTAAATCATTCTATATTTTTATATAGTTATATGTTTATGATGTCTTAAAAATCTGTGAACTTATAAAAAAAATATATGGTTGTGATTTTTGAAAAAAAAATCATGATTTATTTTATATATCTTTTTACACAATAAAAGAAATAAAAGGTAGCAAAAGTTTAATAAAAGGAAAAATATACCGTGAAATGTATAAGGTATAACAAGTTACTGTGTGATAATTAATGAACAGCATGCGAACATATACACCTGTAATGAAGGCAATATTAAATAATATATTGTAGGTCTTCATTTTAGGTAACAGATATATAATGTAGTAGTTACCTCATTCATATCATAAGTAGAAATTGTACATAGTAACTGCTCGTGTAAACGCATGCAGCATATATGTTTACACAAGTAAATTGTTTTGTATCTGTGTAAAAACAGATACTTAAACTTTAATATATTTTGTCACATTTAATTATTATTTTAGCGTCGTATTCAACTGTCTGTGGAGGAAGGAGACCAGGATGACTTCAATGAAGAGGGAGATCTTGATAGCAACTGTGCACATCATAACAAAATCTACTTGAGTGTGACTCCGCGACTTGCGAACGTGTAAGTTAAGCCACATCGGTTTTTACTGACTGGATGTTAACAGTCCATCGATGATTTATAGCATTGTTCCGTAAATATTTAAATGTACAAAATATTAATGGTTGGTATTTTGTTACAGAGCTTCCGAATATCCTCAGAAAGCTATTTTGGTGCCTGGAAATGAAGCCATATTTTCGTTGGAGACAGCCTCTGACTATCTAAGAGAGTACAAAACTGACAAGTAAGTATTTCAGGCAAATTTAATTAGAGTCTGGTTTAGTTCTCTATCTACCCCATTCTTCATATACTTTCCATTCTCCACTGCATGAATATTGGCAATTTGTAATGATAAATTGAAGCGTGCCTGTGCTACGCGATCCTATTTCTTCTAGAATAGTCTTTGAAACTACTGTTGATTCCTCTCCACTACAAACTTCCAGCAATACTAATGTCAGATGACAGCGTTGATTGTAAGTAGCATTGAACGTGTTAACTCTAACATATTATACAAATAGCATGTGTTGTGCAGTGGTCTGGAGAGCCACTTCGGTTACCGGTGCCTGTGCGTGGGTTACGAAGACACGCCGTTCACCATACAGCGCAATGGTCTGTTACTATTGGAGATGGAGCTGGTGTACGCCGGCGCTGCGTGCGCCTCTCGACTTCTTGCACCTGACTTGGAAATGCCCAGTACATCTCACAGTAAGTCACACATTTTATTGGGTAAAAAAAAACAAAACATACGTGTAGATAACTATGTAGTCGTTATGTTTATTCACACATATATATATATATATGAAACTGGCAACTATTGTATGTTAACATCATCTTTCTATTAGTAGTATTATAAATGTATGTATCTCCGTATATAGGAACATAGAATCTATTTCCCCTGCGCTTCCTTTATGTACTGCAGCTGCGATATGAAGATCGTGATTGGAATATATTGGTGCAGGTGTATCTTTGTTATTGTATACAAAGTAATATACAACCTGAGAATATAAAGTTTCTTTTGTACATGTTGAATGTACAAATGTCACACAAATGTGTTATGAAGGCTTATTTAAATAAGTTTGGAAATTGAAGGATGAAACTTTTTATTTGATGCTAAAAAGTGGGAAATCTTTGCCTGTAACCATAACGCCGAAACATTCCCACAAAAACAGGCTGTCATCCGTTACGCCTAATAATAAATATTTGTGAGTAACAAAAATATGTATTCATACAGAGACCCTGGCTGATATCCAGTATCTGGCAACGTGGGGCACGACGCGCGAGGGCGAGCCTCCTCTAGACTACACGGAGATGACATTCATCGCCCGAGGCTTGGACCTCGCTTCACTCCCGACTATACATCAAGTGCTTGATGGACAGAAACTGGCGCGGTAAGTTTAGAATCCCACAGGATTATTGGCTACGTTTATCGAGTTGTAAGCGCAATGCGAGCATTAACTCGCTGTGTTTACCCATTAAATTTTCATCAGCGTGATCTACAAATTATATACAAATTTGGAAGTGCCACCTAGTGTTAGAATTAAGAAACACTTAGTGCTTTGGTGGATGTGTGCTGTTTTGATGACCAATAGACGTTTATATGGTTTTACTTTTGTCTTAAAATAATTAAAATGCATTGATGAACCTCGAAGCTACGACGCAAGCATATGTATGTTAAATACTATTGGACTTAACCAAAATGAGCAGCTATTGTCTGAAATACGTAACAACATACTGTTTTATAGGATTACGGCGCAAGCAGATTAAGACTAATTGGTACTTTTGGAAAGGCTAATGGGTTACTTTGTTAGCCGAAAGATTCAAGATTTTTTTTCAACATTCGCATCGCTTTATATTATGAAAATATTTATGTGTATAAATAAAACATAAGTAGTGACTTCGCTATAACAATATGGTTCACTTTGCTAAAAAAATATTAGAAATTGTACAAACACAAATAATACAATCATAGCAAAGCCGATTAGTTGGTCATTCTCAATAAATATAACATAACAAGGTGGAACAACATTCGCTTTAAGAGTTAGTTTAAGATTCGGGCGTGCGTGAATGCGGTCGCAAGCGTCTGTACGCTGTATCATAATAACATAAATTGGGTATTATGTAATTCGTGCCAAAAAAGAAATAATTTTATTGATTTATAATCAATATGGATTTTCAATTTAAAATGACAGTAATATTCGCTATAGCAATAGATAAGGTAGTGAATTAAACGTAATTTTAATATAACCCATATTTTCTTATTCTTCGTGATACTTATCCATTGTCGTTTGGTTATTTTATAGTTTAATGATAAACAAAAACATTGATTAGAACATTTTGTACTCTTTATTGTATTAAAACAATGTTTCCCACAATATATGTAAATACACAAGGGACTTTTAAACAGTTTGTTCCTCACTTCTATAATACTGATCAACATATTTAACTAAACTTGGCACATTTCTCTCTAACAGTACATTGAGGTAGAAGAGAAACTAGAAATTCAGATGACTTTTCATAGTAACTACGTCAAAGAAACTTTTCTTATTAAATAAGTCCATGTTTCTTGGTCATAGGTCAGTGGTTAGGAGCTCGGCTCTCTCCACCACTATATGGAACTCCGTCTCCCTATACGTCTTACCGTCGGGCATTACTATCTGTAATTTCTTTTTCTTTTCATTCTCGTGTCGCACAATGAAAAATATCGCAATAGCCGCCGCGATCACAACCAATATCACTCCCACTATCACATATATCCAAAAGTTCTGTTTGAACGCTCCACATCTGCTGTTTACGTAAGTCGGTAAAGAAATGAAATGATTCTCCAGTTCGTACCAGCAGCTGATGATGCCTCCCTGCTCCTTGAACATGTCGCGCCACTGCTCCGCCAATGCGCAACTACACGTCACATTAATGTTCAAACCGTCAACACGTAAAGTCAAACTGGACCGATTAAATAAAAGAGATGACGGCATCAAGTCCGTCACCGTATTATTATCTAACAACAACTCTTGCCGACCGAATGTTGACAGCACGTCCAAATCGACACTAAACCCGAACAATGCACCCTTTCTTAAAGTTCTCACTGAATTATTTCTAAAAGTTATTGGTCCTTGAGATACTAAATGGAACCCATCACCGTCCATGGTATCAATTTTGTTGCTTTCAATCAGGACTCTCTTTGGTGAATGAACGAGGTAAGCCAAACTCGACAAGTGTTCAATGGAAACGCCTTCTACTCGGAACAAATTGGTGACTTCCACGTCCGATAGGAATCTGCTTGGAATGAATCCGATCTCACCGCCTCGCAGTACAAAATTTAATGTTGAGAACTTTTTGAATGCTTGGATTTCGATGTTATCGAAAATGTTATTACTTAATTCTATGTTTTTGACTCCCGATAGACTAGAAAATGCGAAGGGCTTTAGGTTGCTGATGCGGCTGTTGGTAATCGTAATATCATCGACCCGACCTTGTACCGCGTGCGAGGCGATTTCATTGACGGTACTGTTGTAGATAGTTATGCGAAGTCCGGGGTTCAGTTCACTATCGCGCGAAAACGGTGACCATGCGAGGGCGCGTTCGTTGATGATGACGTGAGCGACATTCCTGATCTCCACATTGCGGAGGTGGATGAGGCCACGTATCGTGTCGGAGAGGAAGTGAACTCTGCTGCAGCCGTCTATCACGATGCCGGACGCTGTGGAAGGCACGCGGTACGGCCCGTCCGGTCGCAGCGTCACCTCCTGAAATAAACACACGTCACCGGATATAAAATTGTCTGTTTTGACTGTTTAATCCTGGATACGGATAAGAGGGCAAAAATTAATTTTCGTATTTGAGGACCAATTAATAAAGAGATATGCAATAATTTTTTCGGATATTTTGTGACATCACAATATGTTCTCTGTCGACATTTTCTTAGTGGAGATGTAAAGACCTTCACACTACTAATAGAAGTGGCAATGTGAGAATCTGACTGTGGTTACTTTGAACATCTCGAGAGTAACTTAGTTCAAGGATTGTTGCGGTACTCTTTGTCGGAGGACTCCTTGAATTAGTTTAGCGCTCAGAATTAATGTTAACTACACATATTAATAATTACTACTTATACTATTATATATAAATTTAAATAATATAAAACCTATTATAGGCTTTTTCATTATTAGTGTACTATATGTAATTTTATCTTTGTAATACATCTAAGTTGAATAATCCACGGTATCTAATTCGAGTTGTCATAATTTATGGAGTTCTACTGGTATCCTTACATCATAATCGCGAGTACAGTTGCATATGAGTCGCGTGAAAGGGTCGCAGCGACAGGCGTCGTCATCGCAAAGCGTTGGCGCAGGCTGAGCGGAGCCGCACGCCAGCAGCGCGACCAGCGCTGGAAGCGCGTACTTCACCCACAGCGCTGGACCACGCATACTACTGCTGCGTACACTTCATGTCACCATCGCAACACCTTGTTCTATAACAAAAACATTGACGTCTAATTATTTACTCTGGATAAAGTAGCGCTTGACCACGACCTCTATTGAATTTAAGTGTTCAAGTAATCGGAAGATGGTACGCGCTTGTTTAATGTACACGAATATTGAATCGGAGGAATTAAGATTTTTTTTAAATATTATAGAACTATAGACGCGATCACTTTTTTATATAATGGATATGCTAGACCCTCAGATAATCTCACCCCATTTTAAGTAACTAATTGTTGCATTTTAAGTCGTTTGAAGAAAAGTTCGTTGGCACTTAAACTCATTAATTACATTCGAAAATATACATACGTGATCTTAATGATATTCCTGTTTATGACAACAATGTGTTTTTAACGTTATTAAAAAATTCAATATAAATTCCGCAGTGGGCAACAGCTTGCACCGTTGTGAGTCAACTTCGCGCTGGCACGTTATCGTCCCTCTTATCAGATATGTAGCGAGGTGTTGGCCATTCACAGCTCGTCGGAGCACCGACACTGATTTTAGCAAGGCTATCGAACTGATAATGATATCGCGACTGCGTTCTATTGTTGACCCTGTTTTACCTTCTATCGTGTAAACGCCCATAGTGCTTTATGTTTTTGTCATTTTATTCTCTTTTACACAAACTTTCGCTAATATGTCGATGTTTTAAGTAACTTTCTATAATGTTTTCATCGTTTTAACTACTTTTATCTATAATTTTAAATTTAAAAGATGTAAAACTTTTGTCTACAATATGTATGAAAATATTCATAAAGCAAGAATTTGTATTAATAAGAAGATATTATCCTTGAGGCGTCTGTCCGCTATGCTAATTACAACATGTCTCAAGTTATTTTAGATTCGGTGCGTCGCTATGGATTTATCGTTGCCGATCACGCCGCTCGCCGAATTCCTTTGTGCTTTCTAAATTTCAATTTAAAACTAAGGCATTTATTCAAAATCCTATCGCACAAGTTATGGACTACCTAAGTAGCTCCTTACTGACGACTTACGTCTTTTAGATGGATGGATAGTTAGTCACCTTCCTATAAAATTTCAGTTATTTTGTTATGTTTCAATGGTTTAATATATTCGTCGTTTTCGACGTATTTGCGAAAACCTGATGCTTTAAAGAAGTTTTTTAGAACAACAATAGTTGAAGAGATTCAGTCTAAATTTATATTTATGTTTGTGATTTCACTGATGAAACTCTGTCATAAAGACATTGCAGAATTCAAGACTTAATTAATTATAACTTTAATTCCGTCAGCAAGGCATGTTGCTAAAAGTTGTTGAAGAGTTTGTAAAGTTTTGCGCGAACTAGTGGATCTTTAAATAATAAAAATTGCATAGAATTAAGTGTATATATTAATTATAGGTTAGGTCTTTGGTTAAAAAAAAATCTTCAACTACTGACATATTAAAAGTAGAAAATAAACGAATTGTGATTCGAAAGGAATCTTTATTTTAATCAATTTAACCGGAATTGTTTTAAATTTAAAAATGTCGTCGTATGTCGGTGTTAGCAATGTAGCTTGCTTGGTTATCTTCCTAGGACCCCGGAAGTACATATGGTGTTCACAGAGCAGCGCCATCTCGCGGTGTTAAGATAGAGCAAATTATACTTAAAAAAAAAACAATATAAATAATAGACAGTCGTTTACGTCTGTTTTAAGTTTAAAGCGTATTCTAAACAAATGACTAATTACAATTTCTACTTCGTAATAGTTATTGATTCATTAGAGGTATTTTTACGCATATTCCAAGTATTTTCCTCTTTGACGTCAATACAGTTTGTTCACATATGTTTTTAAACTCTGTTTATAGACAGATTTTTTTGCTATCAATGTCTAAGATTTTAACTGTACTTTAAGTGTACATATATTTCATCGAACATGTTTTCGTGATAAGATTTATAGGTA